GATCTCCCAAGGGAACACAGGAGCCAAAATTCTTAGGGTACTGTCGTTTCATGGTCCCTTAATGTGGGCCCTTAAAAGCAGACCCCTTATGTACCCCTTATATACCCTAAACAGTCCAACTTGAAAGAGGGTAAGGAACCACATTAAGGAACCACACAACTACCTCTAAACCTTAATCCCCAAACCGAAAAACCCTTAGAAAAACCAGAGTGCAAGAGGGGAACCCCCTAGAATTTAAAACCCTAAACCCTAAACCCTAAACCCCAAACCCTAAACCCTAAACCCTAGGGTTACGTCTGGTCATGGCTCAGGCCGCGACGCAGACGCAGTCCTCCTCCCTCCAGGCCACCTGCAAGATCTCCTCCCCTTCCAGCTGGGTGCTGTAGACCTCTGGCGGCTCGCAAAGGGTTTAGGGTCTGGGGTTTAGGGTTTCGGGTTTAGGGTTTAGGGTTTAGGGTTTGGGGTTTAGGGTTTAGGGTTTAGGGTTTAGGGTTTAGGGCTTAGGGTTTAGGGTTTAGGGTTTAGGGTTTAGGGTTTAGGGCAAAAAAAACCCCAAGACGTGGCACCCTGAGCGGAGGGCGTGACCCTAAGCCCACAAAACCCCAGGGTGTGGGACCCTAAGGCAGGGCGGGACCTGAAGCCCGAAACCCTAGGACCCTAAGCCCTAAACCGAGAAACCCTAAACCCTGAACCCTGAAACCCTAACTAAACCCTAAACCCTAAACCCTAGACCCTAAACCCTAAACCCTAAACCCTAAACCCTAAACCCTAAACCCTAAACCCTAAACCCTAACCCTAAACCCTAAACCCTAAACCATGTCAAGGGCACTGCGGCTACTGCTCCAGAACGCCATGGCCTCCCGGACATTGCCGTTCGCTGCGTCCTCGACTGCAAAGAAGGACCTCATTCCACGCAAAAGCTGTTCGTAGGATTTATCGGGCTGATGGGAGTCTATTGGGTAGAAAGACTTAAGATGACTTAAGATATCCCTAAACCCTAAACCCTAAGCCCTAAACCCGAAGCTCTAAACCCCAAACCCGAAACCCGAAACCCTAACAGGCTTCGTACAACGCTTCGGGTTTAGGGCTGCCTGTCGCCTTCCTGTTCAATCCGTTTTGGCTGAGGCCCGCACCTGACCAGTGCCGGCTTTTGGGGGCTTTAGGGACAAGGGCTTAGGGTTGAGGGTTGAGGGTTGAGAGGGTTTAGGGTTTAGGGTTTGGGGTGAGGGCGTTTGGGTTCTGAGGGCTTTAGGGCTGAGGGAAGCTACCCAAGCGGTGGTTAAGGGTTGAGGGTGAAGGGTTCCATTCGAAGCACAGTAAACATGTGAGTTGCAACTAGTCCCTTGGGTTATATGAGTGGCTCTCTAGACTAGGCTTCCTTTTTGGGTCCTATATGTAATCTAAAGGACCTTATTGCAGAGAACTGCCCATATAGAGCTCCTGCGAGCAATCTGGAGAGGGCGGCTCAGTGAGTATGCAGCGCAGGTGCGGGGTTTAGGGTTGAGGGTTTAGGGTATAGGGTGTAGGGTTTAAGGTTTAAGGTTTAGGGCTTCGGGTTGTAGGGTTTAGGGTTTAGGGTTTCGGGGCTTACTTCCACTGCTTATATGGGTCTTGGCATCTCACCTAGCGAAGGCATGCCAAGATGAGCTCCCGGCACATGGCCGCCGGTACAGGCCACACACAGCAAAGCTGGGCCATCCTCACTTGTAGAAAAGGAAGGGTTCAGGGTTTAGGTTTTAGGGTTTAGGGTTTAGGGTTTAGGCTTTAGGCTTTAAGGTTTAGGGTTTAGGGTTTAGGGTTTAGGGTTTAGGGTTTAAGGTTTAGGGTTTAGGGTTTAGGGTTTAGGGTTTAGGGTTTAGGGTTTAGGGTTTAGGGTTTAGGGTTTAGGGTTTAGCGTTTAGGGTTTAGGGTTTAGGGTTTAGGGTTTACCCTCTAAACCTCAGACTCATCAAGCTATTTTTGAGCCTTTGGGCGCTTGCATCGGTCTTCTTGGGTGGTTCTGAAGTCGAGGCTTTGGGTTGAGGGTTTAGGGTTTAGGGCTTCGGGCTTCGGGTTTAGGGTATAAGAGGTTGAGAATCCTTGCAAGGAGCTACCGCACTAGGGGGGGCCTGGGGTTTAGAATGAAAATATGCTGGACTTGGGGCCTGCAACGAGTTCAGCAATCCCAAACCCAACCTTCAAAGATCTCGTTTAAGAGTTCTTTTGGGTTCTTGACGGTTCTTGAGGGTTCTTAGAGTTTGAGGGTTCTCAAGGGTTTTTTAGGGTTCTTTGGGGTTGTTTAGGGTTATTGATGTTTTGGGCTTGTGGTGAGACAGCCATCGCTGCGGCACACGCGCGCACACTCCACTTTGAGGCTTTCTTGAAGATCCAGCTAGTGGTGGGTGGATAAATGAGGGGACTAAAGGGGGGACCCTTATTTATAAGGGACCTTACTTGGAGGTTCATGGTACTTAGTCACCCACCCTGAACCTCCAAGCAGGGGCTATAATGGAATGAGCATCTGAAGGCTGAAGCTCTACTACACCCCTGCGGAAGTAACCCTGACTTTTCCTTGGCTGCGAAACTCTAAACAAACCCCAAACCCCAACACCCTAAACCCCAAACCCACATCCAAAACTTTAAACCCCGAAGCCCCCAAACCCTGAAGCCATCGGTTTAGGGTTTAGGGTTGAGCGTTTAGAGTTTAGGGTGTCGACACCTGGTTGGTGGAAATCCGCGAGGGCGCGCTATCGAGCGAGAAGGTGCCTTGAGAACGCTCGAAGGGTTTGAGGGACTTTATGGGGGACTTAGGGTTAGGGTTTATGCTTTTAGGGCTCAGGGTTTAGGGTTAGGGGTCAGGGTTCAGGGTTTAGGGATCAGGGTTTAAGGTTTAAGGTTAGCGACTGTAGGGTGTCAGAGCTTTTGGGGACTTTACGGACTTCAGGGATTGCGAGTTTTTGGAGGGCTTTACGAAGGGATTCTAGGGTTTGGGGTTTCGGGTTTGGGGTTTAGAGTTTAGGGTTTAGGGTTTAGGGTTTAGGGTTTGGGGTTTAGGGTTTAAGGTTTGGGGTTTTGGGTTTAGGGTGTAGGGTCTAGGGTTTAGGGTTTAGGGTTTAGGGTTTAGGCTTTAGGGTTTAGGGTGTAGGGTTTTAGGGTTTAGGGTTTAGGGTTTAGGGGCTTAGGGGTTTAGGGTTTAGGGTTTAGGGGTTGAGTACATGTTGGCACAGGGTGGAGCTCTAGGGGTAGTTGCATGGTCCCTTAATGGGGTCCCTGACCTTCTTTAAGGGGATCTGAAAGTGGGCCCTTGGGCTTGATAGGGTATATAAGGCTTCTTAAGGGTACGTTCGGGGTCCCCTATTTAAGGGCCCATATTGAGTGAACTACCCTAAACCCTAAACCCTACAGTAGGCAGGACACCCCGAAAGCAGAGCTGGCTGCTGAAGCGCCAGCTGCCAAACCAAAGCCTCCCTTGTCCTGTCCTCCAGCATATTGGCCCTGCCTGCCCTTGCCATACACGCCGTAGCCGCTGCCCCACCCTCCCTGTCATGTAGCCCCAACTGCTCTTGCCACGCACGCCGTCCAGTTTCGCTTGCCATAGCCTCCATAGTACTGGCCCCAACTTTTGCCATACACACCGTAGCCGCAGCGCCAGCTTTCCTGCTTAAGGCCTCTATAGTATTGGCCCCAACTGCTCTTGCCACGCGCTCCGTAGCCTTGGGCTCAGGGCTTGGGAGGGTTTCGGGCTTAGGGCTTAGGGTTTACGGTTGAGGGTTGGAGAGTTTAGGGTTTAGGGCTTAGGGTTTAGGGGTTTAGGGTGAATTACATCCAAGTGCACCAAATCCTGCAAGCCTTAGGGGGCAATCAAGGTCGGGTTGTGTCCAGACCATGAAAAGGATGGATGCTTGAAAGCAGCCACTGGTCTTCGAAAGCAGTTCAAGCGTAAACCATAAACCCTGCATCTTAGACCCTACACCCTTGCTGCCCTAAACCCTAAACCCTAAACCCTAAACCCTAAACCCCTAAACCCTAAACCCCAAACCCTGAACCACGACTCACGGGGGTCATGGGGCTGCCAGCCACAACAGCCTGATGGGGTTCACCTATGGTGTTTAGGGCTTGGGGTTGGGCCCTAACCCTAAACCCTAAACCCTAAACCCTAAACCCGCCTAACCCTACAAGCCCCAAACTCGATATCCCCTAAAAGCCCTAAAAGCCCTCAAAGCCCTAAAAGCCCTAAAAACCCTAAAAACCCTAACACACCACTAAAAACCCTAAAAAACCTAAAACACCTAATAAAACTTTAAAAAAAACCTAAAAAAACCTTTAACAAAAAACCTAAAAAAAAAAACCTTAAAAAAAACTATGCCCATTAGAGTTGGGGGGGGAGAGAGAGAGAGAGAGAGAGAGAGAGAGAGAGAGAGAGAAGAGAGAGAGGAGAGAGAGAGAGAGAGAGAGAGAGAGAGAGAGAGAGAGAGAGAGAGAGAGAGAGAGAGAGAGAGAGAGAGAGAAGAGAGAGAGAGAGAGAGAGAGAGAGAGAGAGAGAGAGAGAAAGAGAGAGAGAGAGAAGGAGAGAGAGAGAGAGAGAGAGAGAGAGAGAGAGAGAGAGAGAGAGAGAGAGAGAGAGAGAGAGAGAGAGAGAGAGAGAGAGAGAGAGAGAGAGAGAGAGAGAGAGAGAGAGAGAGAGAGAGAGAGAGAGAGAGAGAGAGATAAGCGACCTCTGCGGGAGCAGGGCCATGCCTAAGGCGCCATCCCTCCTGGCTTCGCAGGGGGCTCCGATGAACGTCATCGCCCCCTCCACTTGGAGTTCAGACGGGCAGAGCGCCCCGGGCTCCGTAAACGTCATTGCCCGGCAAGGGGGAGGGAGGGGGGGGAGGGAGGGGAGTGGGGGAGGGAGGGGGGCGCGCAGTCGGCGAAGACTGGCCGAAAGTAAGAAATCAGCACCCGGGATCCAGCGTACCTGGCTGCTATGAGCTCGATGGATGTCGGAGCGAATCCCATTCACGGCCAGCATGCCCTCTTTTCTATGGCCGCAGAAGCAACTGCGGGTCGCGGTAATTCAAATGCCCCTCAGTGTCTAGCAGCACCACCGCCCTATCCAGCACCTCACTGACATCATCCTCCCGAAGATTTGGACGGCCTGCCTGCTGAAGGTGTTGCACCAGGGCAGATCGGAGGAGATCGATAGTCGTGGGACCATGTCCCAAACGACGCAGCACCCAGCGGCGCACTCGCCTAACACTGATAGCCGCAGTGTCAGTAGGCGCACGCCAGCCAGCACCTGGCCTTACTTCGGCAGCGAGGCCCTGCAAGTGGTCGTGGAGAGGCCCAGGAGGGAGATCCTGTCTGGGAAGTCTGGGGCAAGCACTCACAGATGATACGAAGGACCAGAGACAGTCCGGACACATGGGACCCCTAGTCATGGCGGCGGGCAGGTAGCTGGGGTGGATGCCACAGTTCCATGTCGGGCAGGCTCCACGCCGATGAAGGGCCGTGCCGCACACCATACAGGCATCATCTTCGTCTGTGCACCTTCGGCACCACGGACAGGGGTGCACCTGCGGCCGGCGGGGAGAGAATCTCACTCGCCCGCAGTGCCAGCAAATATCCGGCCACGCCGCTTCGGCGTTGTGCGGGCAGTCGCACGGAGGAAGCTGGAACAGCTGGACGACTGCTGACCAAAGCGGCATCTCAGGACCCCACGCAGGGCTACCCGCCACCAAAAAAGGTACTCCAGCCGCTTGAAGGGCAGTTCGGACAACGGCAGCCGAGAGACCTCTAGTGAGAGCATCCCGTGCACCTTCCTGTCGGATTCGAGCGGTGGCAGCTTCTTCAGGGAGCAGCTGCCAACGGAGCTGCTGGATGATGCGGGCGCCCGCTCCATCCATCCACTGCTGCAAGCGCCGCAGTCCCGCAGCGGCCCCCATAGCTGGAGCATCAGGAGGAGGGACCTCCTCCTGTGGAGCCTGGGCACTTCGCACCAGGGCCAGATAGGCCTGCACCCTTTGCAGGTATTGCGCACGTATGCAGCGCAAGCCAAGGAGGAGAAGGCTGGTGATTCTAACGGCGCTTCCCATTTGGAGGTCCGCAGAAAGGCGCTCGCGTGCCTCTGTCTCCGCCAACTCCATGTGTCTGAGCTCAGCAAACCCCTCCGCACCAGCCGCCTCCTCAGCGACACTGCTGCTCAAGCACTGACCCAGCCGGAGCGGGATGACCCCTCGGTACGCCAGCTCCTCTGGTCGTTCTTGTTCAACGCCAGCAGCGCTGCTGACGTTATCCTCCCTGCTGAGGAGGGCTTCCCGGGATGGTGTGGTGATGAACCACCGCCAGGCAGAGAGCAGCGGCCACCGTGTCTCGTCTGCCGGGAGAGGCGCGATGACGGGTCGGCCCGCCCTTACCCAACGCCAGCAGCTCCTCCTCGACCAAGTCGCGCACGTGGTCCACCAATGGCCGCATAGCAGGACAGTTCATGACCACATGTCGGGGGGTCCCAGCAGCCGTGAGACAGAGAGGGCAAACCCGGACTGGCCTTCCTTGTCGGCGCGCTTCATCCTCAGCGCATTGGCGAGATTCTGCATGGGCATGAAGGAGCTCGGACCAGCCGCCTCCAATAGCTCTCAGGCACCGGAATTGGAATCCGGAAATGTCGACAACATCCCCATCTTGTGGAAGCGCCAGCGTCCTCCATTCTATGGGAATGGTAATTTGTGTATAGTGCCGCGGGTGCATAGAGGCTCGATAGAGCTCCGGCCCAAGTCTGGCAATCTTGCCCTGCACTCGGCGCAGCTTCCACTGCTGACAGGCCTGCAACCTCAACTGCCGCCTCACAGCCTCTCGTGTAGTAGTCGTAATCATGCGCCCTTCCCACACGAGAAAAGCGAATAGGCTGCCCGCGGGGAGAAAAATGTCAGGAGGTTGTGGTCTGAGCCTTGCCTGTCTGCAGCCCTCATCCTGCTGCTCATTTCCCTCGATGATGACAGGATACGGGCATGGGTCGCCTTGCTGGTGGCTTTTTACATCCACGCCTACCAGGCCATGCTCATCAAAGGCAACTTGCACCATTGTTCGCGTGTGGCCCTGATGCTCCCGTCGCACGTTCCACTTCTCCGGATGAGTTTCCACGTCCAATCTCCAGGAAGGCGTAAAGCGACCGCCTCGCCAGGACCGCTGCAAGTGATCCAGAACAGCTCGCAGCACAGATTCCAAAGGGAAGTGCGCCCACCGGCTAGGGCAGTGGCTTCGGCGGAGTGCTGCAAAAAGCGCAGAGCGGTCACATACGAGCAAATTCCAGTCTCCCGGCCGCCGCCACCGCAGGGCGCACAGCATACCCACAAACTCTGCCAGGTGAACCCCAGAGGCTTCATACCCGTAACGTTCCGGGAGTCGGCCAAGAATGGGCACCGAGACCTGCCGGCTACGTTCCCAGTAACCTCCTAGCGGGCCAAAGGCCCGTGCTTGAGCACTATAAGTGCAAACGCCGCCGCTGTCTCCTCCATCACTATACAGTGCATAGTCAGAGGGGGGGAACCCATGTGGAAAGATCGCCGCCAAGCCTGCAACTCGCGGTGCAGGCAGATGCGGCTGACTCCACGCCGACTCCGGCCAATCTTCCGGAAGATCCTCCGAAACGTGCCCGCCAAAGAGAGCTGCCTCAGCTGCCCAGTCTGTTTCTGCTTGCTGTCGGGCAGCCTCCGCAGCAGCCGCGCAGCTGGCAGCATCCAGACGTGTCCCTTGCAACAGGGGGGTCCACACCGCCGGGTCACTCCACCTTGCAGGCGGGACACCGCTGCTACGCAGCGACGCCACAGCTCGACGAATAGCATTGGCTTGGTGACCCACTCTGCAAAAGCTAGCCGCAGCGCGTGCCAATGCAGGCCGGTACAATCCGACGAGGGGACACGGCGTCATCCTATGCCGTGCAGCCAGCTGATCTAGTATCCGCCCCACCGTACGGTCCGTGCCTGTGGTGACGTGAAATCCGTACTGGGAGAGGAACCGCATAGCACGAGGGATGAGTCTTTCATCGTCTTCAGCGGACTCAGGGTCTTGCTGCATAGCCTGACGAAGCTGATCTCTGGCCACGCAGCTGGCCATGCCCTCTCCACAGAGGAGCATCAGCACATCATGAGCCGCCGCCGCCACTACACTCTCGACAACTGAGGGCAACTGTACACCACCATCCCTGCTCGCTGCCAGGAGACTGACCCGCTCGGCCGTGCAGCGTGTGCCGAACCGCTCCAGCACCAGTCTCTGGAAGGCGGCATCCTCCTCATGTAGTGCCATTGCTGGCGGGATACCCATCAAGCACGCATACCCTAGGAAGCCGCGGACCCTCAGCTGGTACACCATTGCAGCCTCATCCCACGTGCAGCGCTGACACACGATAAGCTGCCGGGCCGAAACCAGGCGGTCCAACGTGACCTGTGCCGCTGCAGAATGGCGATCCTGTAGGGTGCCAAGCTTCCCCAACAGCGTTTCTTGCGTATCCTCATGTGCACGTGGAATAGTAGCCTCTGCTACCCCGCCGTGCCAGATATCCCAGCCGCCAGCCAGTACCCCCATCTCATTTATTTCCCGGCGTGGCGGGGCTGCATGCCGCATGTATGGGAGCCAGTCAGTCGCGAAAGCCGAGCACTTTGGCCAGCAGAAGCCTATGCCAGTACCCTCGCTTCCAAGACGTAGGTCAGCTGTCATAAGCTGGAGTTGTCGAGCCCCGTCTGCATAATGCTCTGTGTCGTCAACATATCCAGCAGCGCCGACTTTGAGTCCAGCCGACGTGGTATAAGCGGCGTCACTCCTTTCTCGGAGGCGCAAGAGCGGATCCTGTGCAGCCTTAGAAAGCTCTGGGGCTGAAACGGAGCCTTGAGGGAGCCCCCGAGAGACCAATATTGGGAGCGAGGGACCCCACCTTGTCTGCACACGGAGCTTTATACCTGAGAACGCTGCAGTATACAATCGCCGAACCTCCGGGGGCACTGCCCGGGCCTGCATGACAGCGTCCGACGCCGCCAGAGTGACCGCATTAAAGAATTTCTCGTAGTCAGCAGCCACCCGACATATATCCCGCCTCCAAAAGAAGGCGTCCTCAACGATCATGGCATCCAAATAGAGGACAAGCGGTGCTGCGCTGACCCCCACCTCATAGGCTCGGTTTAAGTCGCTATATAAGCAGCCCGGCTCCATACGGCTTCGCCACTGCGTGAGTCTGCGCGTGACTGGCCCTTCGACAGCCTTGAAAGTCTCTTCCAACATGGTGAGAGGGCGCCATCCCCCTTTTGGTTTAGCGACGTTGATCTGCAGCGCCCAGCTGGAGTGGTCTGCACGCATGCCGCACTCCCGTTGTACATCCAGGGAGAACCAAAGCGCCTCTTGCAGCCAGTCAGGGAAGAAAGGGAGAAAGGCCATCTTGAATCCAGATGGGCCAGGACGCGAGGCACGTCCGCGCCGAAGTACATCACGCCTCTCTTCCAAAGACAGGGGCCGCACCAAGTCAGCAGCCTGCATACTCTCAGCAGCGCTAGGGCAGGCTGTGATGAGCACCACTGGTAATCGTTCGACGCGAGAATATTCCCAGCGGTCCAGGGACCAAGCAAACGGAGGGAGGCCGTTGGCGGCAAGCAGGACACGCTTTGGACCAGCACACGGCTGCAGCCGTTGCGCCGTCCATTTGCCTTCCGTGCACTGAAGACAGAGGGACTTCGTGTGGATAGCCCCCTGTTCCACTCGCACTATGTCACCACCAGCACAGTCTGTGATCTCAACCAACCCAGGCAGTAGGTACGCAAGTCCCAGTCTACGCAGATCGCTGCCCGGGGCGGCCGCTGCAGTAGAGAGGAGATTTGGCGAGGCCCGCTGATTGCCTATGGCGTCCCTCCAGAAAGTCAGGCACTGGTGCTCCCAGCGCGGTACTGGACCCTGGTGCAAGGGTTTCCACTCTTGCGCCGCCCCTATTTTTGCCTGTTCCACATTCACCGGGATCTGAGCGGTACCGTCTTCCAGCAGCACCCGATCCGGCGAATATGTAGCCTGTGGCCGGCGCGCAGGCCGCAGCATTCGACACCATAGTCGAAGGTCCTGGGCTCGTAGGGCTCCTGCTCGGTTCTGCCTACGATCAGCGCTCCGATGTCTCCAAACCGCCGCACGCATGGACTTCGCAACCTTCTTCCATTCCAAGGCCTGGTCCAGAATAGCCTGTCCGTCTGCAGCTGTGAGAGGTGGGGAGAAATGTCCAGACTGTTCTGGAGTAAATCCAGATCGTTGGCTAAATCTGAGGAGGCAGAGGGTGGCCTCACGGCAGTGACAACGTTCCCCGGAGACCAGTCAGTTGCCACATTCAGGAAGCCTCGGGCCATTGCCCACTCTACCGGACGGGTGCGAAAACCGTCCCAGTCCTCGCAATCAAAGCGAAGAGGTAGCTGCGCGTTACGCTGCCGTACTAAGCGGCCAGTGTCAGCTATCCCCTGTGTCCACGCTTGGCGGACGCTGTCTAGCAGCTCCGTAGAGGGCGGCCGCCATGGCTGCCGCCAAAGCGCAAAGCGGATGGTCTGACAGAGCTCACGGAGCCTGGTCATGAATAGGTCCCAAGCCGAGCTCGCCCGGCCGTGCCCTCGAGATTCCGCAGACGGGAGCTTGACTTCTGCAAGGGCGTCCAGCATGATTTCCATAATGCGAGCGTGCAACTGTGACACCTGCTCCCGAAGCGCCGGGGTGCGTGGGTCAACTCTGCGGATCCAAGGCAGCATTCCTCCGAGGAGTTCCGCGAGGCGAGCCTCCGAGTCCCGCTGTGGGCCTCCCGCGGCTTGTCGTCCGCAGGTCCGCATAATATTTTCAAGCTGCTCACGCACCTCCGAGATTTCGCCGTGGTACTCCCGCACCAGGGTCACCACACGGGCCCGCACTGTAGAATCCCCAAGCCGATCCACAAGCAGGCGCCACTTGCGCGAAGCTTCATCCGGGACCTCCTCCTGCATAGTCGGGAAAGGGACAGCAAAGTCAGCGACGATGGGATCGTGATCGATCCTTCTTGGGTGGGCCCAAACCACCGCCGAATTGAGAAGAGGGACGTCTTGATCAAGCGGAGCACGCCAGAGAACATAATCGAGCCGACTGGCCCCGCCGGCTTGGGAGAAAAAGGAGAAGGCTCTCATTAGAGGGTGCCGCTGACGGAAAGTATCCCTCAGCCCGCAAGCCAGCAGAGTGCCCAGCAGGCTATCGGCCCGGGGCTGCGCAGAGCCCTGCCAGACATCCAGGCGTTCGTTCCCTATGGAGTTGAGGTCTCCGGCAGCCACGAAGAGGGCATTCCGGTGTAACGCATGCTGACTTTGCTCCCTTACAAAAGCATTCAAGTCCTGTTCCTGTTTTACTGCAGCTTCTCTTTGAAGAAAGCCCGGAAGGCAGGAGCCAGACACACCGTACAGGGCGAGGACGCGGAGCTCCAGATCAGCAGTCAAATTCACGGAAGCCGCAATAGCCCGTCCATGAGGGCCGAGAGCCACAGCACGCCATCCAGCGGGATGAGTAGCCTGAATGGCTAAAACAACCCCCGCGGAGCGGGATCCAGATCCAGACTCTCGCAGTCCTGGGGTGTATCCGCCCGACTTGATGTTATGGCTAATGGCCCGGAATCCTCCGTCTAACATTCCTTGACACGCCGCGGCGTGCGCCGCCTCAGTGCCAGCGCGGGTCTCGGAGAGGACACCGACGTCCGCTCCGAGCTCTGCCAAAGTGTCAGCCCAGAAGCGACCCCAGCCATACCTATCGCTACCAACTCCAGCCGTTTGCAGTGCTACGACTCGGAGAGCGGACTCAGGCCGCCAGGAGACGTTATCGCCCAAGCAGTTCCCGCAGAAGCGGGCCAAGCGAACCTGTCGGCCGATAGGCCACGTATCCCGTTCAGGGTCAAGGAGCGGAGGGGCTCCAGGGTGCCCGAGAAGGTCCTCATCCTCCTCTCCCGACGACATGGCTACAATTGAAAGGGAAAAAAAAAGGAAAAAGGAGAAAAAAAAACCAAAGAAAAGAAAAAGAAAAAGAAAAAAAACAGAAAGTAAGAAATGAGCACCCAGAAGAAAGGGCAAAGAAGGCTCGTGGGGATGCGCGTGAGTGCAGCTGTTCGCAGAAATAAACACAAAACCTTGGGTCAAACAGGCTGCAGGCGCCACTGTCAGCATCTGGTTGCTGCCGCTCCAAGACATATATCAGATATCGACGGACTCATCCTGGCAATGCCCCAGAGCTCTGGGGCACTCCGTGGCCTCCGCAGCGGCGCTCCGCAGCGGCACCTATTCGAGAGCAGAGCAAAGTTCAAGTGCAAGTACTGCTGAAATTCGAAGTACAGCCCATTCCGCACGCATCCGCACTGCACAGAAGAGTCCTCCTATTTTTTTGGCCGCGGTTGAAAGTAAAGCTCGAGTAACCCTTGGGCTCTTGCCCGACAAGGGCAAACCGCACGTTACTGATGGCTGTGAGCACCCCGAGCGCGCTGCAAGTCTTAGGCACTTCCCTAGAGCGTTCAGGGTTTCGCACGTCACTTCCTGATAGCACAGAGCCAGAGGCCCGCAACCCTTACAGGGACACGGACCGCAGCCCGTCAAAACTGGGAGAGATGCCTTTAAAAGGAGGGGCGCTTAGGCCACGGCAGGAAAGCCAAGTATGTTGGCATTGCAGCTCGGACAACGGGCACGATTGTCTGCGTTCACACATTCCGCGGCCCACCACCGGCAGGCGCAGGCATCGTGAAATACGTGCAAACAGGGTAACCGTTGAAGTGTCTGGCCTTCCTGCAAGGGCTGGAAGCAGATGCTACAGTCTGCCGCAGTGTCCGCCGTGCTCTGCTCATAGACCAGACAACGATCTTGCAAGACCGCCGGCAGACCTGCAGTAGCAGGGGGCGGGTGGGGCGCACTGTCCACGCGCTCCGAAGCCGAGTGACCAGCAGCTCGCCCCGGAGATCTTTCCGCTGCTGCAGCCTCCGGCGCCGCGGGCCTTTCAGGGAGGGTTGTTGGCCGCGGCCGCCTCAGAGGAGCCCGTTCAAGGCGCAGAGCACCCAAGCGACCACGACCACGCCCAAGTCCAAGGCGCCCACCGCGGTCTCCCCCACGGCCAGCTGCTTTTGCACCAGAGTCGCGGGCGCGCCGACCCCGAGCAAGCTCGAGTCGCACTGGCCCTGCCGGAGTCTGGATCGTACATTGCGAGGCATCTCGGGCGCTGGTAGAAGTAAGTTCAGACCAAATACTGGAAGTAGCTGTGCCAGCGGCGAAGGCGGCATGAGCTAAGAAAGCAGCCTTGTTACGTCGTGGACCCGGCAAGAAGCGGATTGAGAGTCCCTCCAGCAAAGGAGCCAAGGAAGGAGCCTGTCTGGACAAGCTGTTGAGGATGTCCTGCATGGTGTTCGCGCCTAGCCTGGGAGGAAGACCAGCCATGAAGAAGCCCGGGGGCGCCAACTGACTCACTTGATTGAGAGGAGACGGAGGTACCCCTCCTGCATGGTCTGGCGATGGTATATCGCCAGGAGTCCTGGGGCTCGGCAGGTGGGTAGGTGCATCTGCAGCAGAGGCCGCCACCACCTGGCCACCGGTACCCCGCCCAGTGACTCGACTCATTGTGCTGGGCCGGGGTGCGTGAGTCCCATCTATTCCAGGAGCCTCAGCCCGTGACCGCGGCATTGCGCCGGAAGACTGAGGCCGATGAGCTGCAGGGGCCAGACGGGCAGTAGAGGTCGCTCGACCCCGCCGCTGCGAGTGCATCCGGTCACCATGACGACGCCGCGCTCGGGAGCGACTTCGTCGGGGCACGCGATGTGTACCTTGGTTTTCTCTCTTGCGCCCGCGTGAGCGACTGCGACGTCTGGACGAGAAGTCATCATTTCTGGCATTTCGGCGTCTGTGTGGCTCATCGATCTCTGAAACTGGTTGACTGCGCATCTCAGCTTGGGGCATCCCCGTCCCTGTAGCATCCAGGGCACGCGCAGAAGTGTTCAAGGGAGTACTCGAAATGGGCGTGGTAGGAAAAGAAGGGCTTGCATGTGTCGGAGGCACCCCATGCTGAGACTCCCAGCACATCTCCGGAGCCACTGAGGCTGTAGCACTGTGGCCAAGCGGTACAGGCACCGTCCAGTTAGACTGCGCCCCTCCAGGAGGCAGTCCTGCAAACGATGCAGCCAAGGGACATGGAGAGGCTTGCGGCAACACCGACATCAAACTGGGCGCTCCCAGGAGTGACGCTGCAGCCGCCTGCATACAAGGCTGATACGCTGCCTGTGGCTACGCCCATCCCAGCCCAGGCGCTCCCGGGAGTGACGGCCAGTTGAGCAACCCGGGCGCTCCCGGGTAAAGTTGCTGCTCTCCAAGAGCCCGCTCCGCGAGGCTGAGAGTAACTCGCAGTGCACGCAAGGCTTCCATGGGCAGCATGGGAGTCTGCACTCACAGCAGCTACAGGCGCATCAGAGCCTTCAATGGAAGGAGTGAGAGTTTATTCAAAACAACGCAGTTTTGACATGCCCATAGTGCGCGCCCGGCCTTGGAAGACACCGCAACGGGGCCGAGCCACCCAGCCGCCATCCCAAGAAGAAGCATCAAGCATGCTGCGGGCGCAGCTTGAAATATTTAACATGCGCTTGCGTTCTGCTGCGGGGAAGATCCCCCTTAACACCCAAAAAAAAAAACGTGACGAAAAAGAAACTGTGCCTGGTAGGCTGTTCCTGCTGACGGGCAAAGCGGCCCAGGGAAGGAAGGAAGGAAGGAAGAAATACCCAAAAGAAAAATAAAACCGAGCCAGGATTGCCATCCTGAGGCGATTTCACTGAAGCAATGACTACGTGATTATCCATGCTCGGGGGGCCCAGCCAGCTTCCCGGACAGGGCGGGAGCTTCTCAGAATGGGAGGCCTAACCAGCTTCCTCACCACGGCCCGGTACTCCCGCTTGCAGCGACCACACGCTGCCGGCAGAGAAAGAGAAAAGAAAAAAAAAAAAGAGAAAAAAAAAAAAAAAAAAAAAAAAAAAAAAAAAAAAAAACGGGGGGGGGAGGGAACGACGAACGGCAGCAGGGGACCGGCGTGGCCACCGGCACACGCATCCAGCCCCCCGCTGAAGGGGACCTTAGTACGCAGGATACGCAACGAAAGCCCGGACGGGAAGAGGGAAGGAGAGGAAGAAAGAAAGAAAGAAAGACAGAGAGGAAACAAAACCGAACAAAACACACACAACAAAAAAAAACAAAAAGGCACACCAACCGACGGCAGCAGGGGACCGGCGTGGCCACCGGCACACGCATCCAGCCCCCCGCTGAAGGAACCTGAGTACGCAGGAGACGCAACGAAGGAAAGAGGAGGGAAAAGGGAAAGAAGGAAAACAAAAAAAAAAAAAAAGGGGGGGGAGGGAACGACGGACGGCAGCAGGGGACCGGCGTGACCACCGGCACACGCATCCAGCCCCCCGCTGAAGGAACCTTAGTACGCAGGAGACGCAACGAAACAGAGAGGAGGGAAAAGGGAAAGAAAGAAGACAAAAACCAAAAAAAAAACACACACAAGGGGGGGGAGAAGGGAACGACGAACGGCAGCAGGGGACCGGCGTGGCCACCGGCACACGCATCCAGCCCCCCGCTGAAAGGGACCTTAGTACGCAGGATACGCAACGAAAGCCCGGACGGGAAGAGGGAAGGAGAGGAAGAAAGAAAGAAAGAAAGAAAGAAAGACAGAGAGGAAACAAAACGAAACCAAAAAAAAACACACAAAAAAAAAAACCAACCAACCAACGGCAGCAGGGGACCGGCGTGGCCACCGGCACACGCATCCAGCCCCCCGCTGGTTAGGACCTGAGTACGCAGGAGACGCCACCAAAACCCGGACGGGGAGGGAAAGAAAGAAAGAGAAAGAAAGAAAAAGAAGAAAAAAAAAAAAGGAGGAGGACAACCGACGGCAGCAAGGGGCCAGCGTGGCCACGGCGCACGCGTCTAGCCCCCCGCAGGGAAAGACCCGAGGACGCAGGGAACACAACAAGAAAAAGAAAAGAAGAGAAAAAAAAAACAGGCCACACAGACAGACACACACACACACACACACACACACACACACACACACACTCGCACAGCGCCCAATGCACATCCACACGTACCGCTGCCCATGAAAGCAGAGCAGGCAGCTGTTTTCAGACGCTCGCTTGTTGCGCGCTGGAGATTTTTAACCTGCAAAGTCCAGGGCTGCAGGGGCCTGGGAGTATTCACAAAGGAACCACTGAACCAGATATGCTTCGGGCTTAGGAATGGGCCACCGTACGGCAGCGGACAGATAGTGAGCCCACGCCAAAGCTACTGCGGGCTCAATGGGCGCGTAGGGAGGCCGCCTAAGGACTCTATTAAGCCCTCGAAGCCCGCCAGGTCCGAACCCACAAAAGGTCATTCTATCTCTAGGGAAAGCCGTAGCAATCCGTTGGGTGCGAAGATCAAAAGCAATCACACTTGCCCAGAAATAGCCATGGCCATACGTGCCGGCAATCAGTACCAAGATAGGGAACCAAGTTGGGCCGTTCACCAGCTGCATTACGAGCTCCCGTTTCTTCCATAGAGCGCCGATAGGATCGATGATTGCTGCGGACAACTGAGTATGAATTGCAGCCTTGTCCTTTGCAACTGCAGCTTTGCTGAAGGCATTGCGGTGGGCTGCGCAATGCGGGAGAGGAAGTTGCGTCCATCCTCTCATGGCGTGCTTGCAGAGAAGGTTCAAGAGGCGCTCCGGCTGCCATTCCGTGAGCCAGCCCAAGACTGAGGAAGATAAGCCTGTGCGCCGGAGCACAAGCACATTGAGGAGCTGCTCCAGTTCAGGCCTGTCACGGGGCAGAGGCCCCCATGGGGCCACGTGCAGAGAAGGTGGCGCCGGGTCAGTCAAGTGACCAGCAAAGTCCTCCAAAACTGCCAGTCGCCGGGCTAAAGCAGTGGACACCCTCCCTGGTATGGGGCCACCATGGCGCCAACATGTTTTCACGCCCAGCTCCCGCCGCTCATTGCTGAGGCGGCAGGAACAACGTGCGTGCGAGCAAATGTGTCGCAGAGGCGTACGGGAAGTAGGGCGCCCCAAGGCCAGCATCCGTCCATGAACGGCGCAAGTATACAGTCCAAGCCTGAACCTTGCATGGCTAACTTGCCTGCCGCAACCCCTGCGATTACACGTGCGCGCCATAGCCCAGAGGCCACGCTGGAGCCCAAATGTAGGCAGTCAAGACGGCAACCAAGAGCAAGATCGACGAACGACAGAAAAAAAAAAAAAAAGGAGGAAAGGAAAGGAAAGGAAAGGATGTGTGGGTTGGTCTGCCCCTGGCGCGCCAGAGACCGCTTGCGGCCAAATCAAGCGGTGGCACCCCTGAGCCTACTGCGCGCGCACGCAGCAGTCCCACACACAGCTACGGGGCCCATTAGAGTTGCAAGTAGTTTTCCCTCGAAACACGTCTTGACTAATGGATTTTAGACACTTTAAGAATCTCTGTGGGTCTTCACCTCAAGAGCCCCTTTGCAACCTGTCTCCTGAAAGATCCTTGATATACAAAAACAAGATAACGCAGATTTTGGGGTTCAGGGTTTGGGGTTTTTAGAGGGTTGTTAGGTTCAGGGTCTCAAGGCCCTAAACCCTAAACCCTAAACCCTAAAACTCCAGCATGGGCTTCGGACATTTGGGCGCCGTCGCCAGGCTGCTGCCATGCTGCTTGTTCCAGTTCTCCTGAACCTTGGCCCATGAGCGCTTAGGGTTTAGGTTTTAGGGTTTAGGGTTTAGGGTTTAGGGTTCAGGGTTTAGAGGATAAAGTTCTTAGAAAAGGGTTTGGGGAATGTGGGTATTGGGGAATGAGGTACGCTACACCATTTCTTAAAGGTCCACATGGGTCGGCCCGGCTTTCCTGGACCTTGGGTGGGACTCCGTGAACCCCAATAAACCCACAACCCTAACGTTGGATGTCCTATTCTTACAACCCCTCAGAAGGCTACAGGTGATAGAAGGTGCCCTAAACCCTAAACTCTAAACCCTAAACCCTAAACCCTAAACCCTAAACCCTAAACCCTAAACCCTAATGGCCTACTAAGAACTTGTACTAGGATGGCCCTTCGAAGCCTCCGAACAATACAGTCCTCAATAAGAGCCGCTTAAACCCGATCCCCTTAAGCCCGGGAGAATATGAGACATCCCAACGGCCTACCCCGACCTCCGAACTCCAAACCCCAAAGCCAAAACCCTAAACCCTGAATTATCCCGAGAGGCTTACCTAGTACTTGGAGGTTCATGGTACTTAGTAACCCAAGTATAACTGTACTTGTAACCCAATGAAAACCCGATTAGGGTACTTAAGGGGCTTATATGTGGGTTATAACTACACCTTTAATTGGGAAACCCTAAACCCCAAACCCTTAAACCATGGCATTCTAAGCACCCTGAACCTCCAAGCGTAAGTAAATCCTGGTAAACTGCTGCTCTCAGGTCCCAGCAAAGTCTTGCCCAGTGTATGCTAGGACCTTCGAGTCCTCTGAAAGGGGCTTCGGGTCTAGGGTTTAGGGCTCAGGGCTTAGGGTCTACATTCCCTGCACGCGTTGACATCGAAGTTGTTAGGTTCGAGTTCAGGCCAAGCAACCGAGACCTTTTGCGGAGAAAACGGAAAGCACTGGCAAGAAACCACACACACACACAGAGACACACACACACACACACACACACAAAATTCACAACAACCCTAAATCCTAAACCTGATATCTCCTTGACTGCGAAGATGACATCATACGCCGGATTGTAGCACAGCCTCGCGAGCAGTGCCCAGGGCACTTTACCGAGAAATATGGGGGGCCTTCAGAATTAGAATAGGGTTTTAAACCCTAAACCCTAAAACCCTTAAACCCTGAACCCTAAACCCGAAATCCCAAAGATTTGGGTTATTATCGTAAAATTGTGACCATAAAGGTATACTAGTAAATATTCCGATCCCTGCCAACAAGGGCTCTGGGTTCAGGCATTAAGGCGTAAGCTCGCCTAAACCCTCAACCCGAACACCGAGAGACCCAACACTCATCAGAGTCCCCTTGCTTACACCCTAAATGCCCTGGGCCCTACCTCTTTGGTAGTTGACTCAGAATTTAACGTTCAACAGTTCAAAAAGGTCCTTGGGGTATTGGGGTCTTACGGGCTTGGGTCGTAAAGGCTTTGAGTCTTATAAGGTTTGCCTGAAACATTTAGAATAATATTTTGAGACCCTGACACCCTAAACCCTAACCCTAGACCCGAGTTAACCCCTAAACCCGAAACCCTAAACCCTAAACCCTAAACTCTTTGGGTCTTTCGCTTATGGCGTTGGGGATCCCAGGATGGCCATACAGCCCTCTGACCAAGATTCCTAAATGCGATCCTCTTGAACCCAATTAGGGTTTAGGGTTTAGGGTTTCGGGTTTAGGGTTTAGGATTTAGGGTTTGGGGTTTAGGGCTTAGGGATATCCCAAGGGCCTAGGGTTTAAGGGTTCTAGATTTTAGGGCGTTTTAGGGTTTAGGGTTTTAAGGCTTAACGAGTAGGGTTTGTAGGGCTTACGGTGGTCATTGGTCATGTGATATCATGCTTGCGCATCCATCAGTTGCCCGAAAGGCGCACCTGACTTCGTCCCAGATGAGACGCGCGGTGGCCCAGTAGCAATGCTATCATAAATCTTCTACACCTAAACTCTCCTAAACCTTAAAAGCTGAAACCTGACACCCTGAAACCCTTGGAATCTTCGACCCTAGAAACAACTTTGCTGCAGCGAGGGCACGTCCCAAGCGCCGAGCTGTTGTCTGCTTGCAGGGAGACATCGGGCCTAGGCGTCGCTTGGGGCGCAAGGCTTGCAGGCTCAACGCCAATCGAGAAACAGGGCTTAGGGTTTAGGGTTTAGGGTTTAGGGTTTAGGGTTTAGGGTTTAGGGTTTAGGGTTTAGGGTTTAGGGTTTAGGGTTTAGGGTTTAGGGTTTAGGGTTTAGGGTTTAGGGTTTAGGCTTAGGGTTTAGGTTTTGGGGTTTAGGGGGTCTACAATTCAAGGATCCTCGAAGCCTGTATCTAACTTTGAATCTCAGAAACTAAAGCAGTACCCAACCAAAATTCTGTCAACCTTTACGGCCAGATAACAAGAGTGCTCCCCAGGTCTGTGTTTGGAACGCTTGGGGTTCAGGACTGTGGGATGTGGGGGTTTACGAAAATAGGAGACGCCTTATCTAGTCCCTTACATGGTAGGATACCCTTGTAATAAAGACCCCAACAAGGTACCCTAAACCCCCACATAAGGATATATTCTCCCTAAACCCTAAACCCTGATCCCTAAACCCTAAACCCTAAACCCTAAACCCTAAACCCTAAACCCTAAACCCTAAACCCTAAACCCTAAACCCCCCATGTAGCTCCAGGGCTCAAAGCCTGCACTTCGGCCAGCGAGTTGCTTTAGGGCTTGTAAGGGATGATCTCCGGGTTTAGGGCGTTCGGGCTCATAAGGTTTAGGGTTTAGGGTTTAGGGTTTAGGGTTTAGGGTTTAGGGTTTAGGGTTTAGGGTTTAGGGTTTAGGGTTTAGGGTTCTAGGGTTCTAGGGTTCTAGGGTTTGGGGTTTAGGGTTTAGGGCTTAGGGCTTAGGGTTTCGGGGGTGCGACTCTCCCCAGAGTCCTCCAGGGAGTTGGGTCTCCGGGCCCTGGATGGAACTTCGCCAAGGTCGTGTCATAGGAGAAGATCTCGATCCGAGCGAGCTCCTCAGGTCTTTTTTGGGGTTTGGGGTTTTAGGGCTCAAGGTTTTGGGTTCAGGGTTCAGGGTTCAGGGTTCAGGGTTTAGGGTTTAGGGTTTAGGGTTTAGGGGTTTAGGGTTTCAGGTTTTGTGGGTTAGGGGGAAATCTGTGCCCTTGTCCGCCTCATAATTAGATCCTTATGGTCAAGCAAGTGCCAGCTTCGAAGGTCACATGAAAGCCAGAGCGGTCTTCGGCTTTGATGAGAAACAGGACCGAGGGGCTTAGGGTTTAGGGTTTAGGGTTGAGGGTTTAGGGCTCAGGGTTTAGGGTTTACGGTTAAGAGCTTAGAGGGCGTTGAGCTTTCTGGGCTGAACCCAGCGCAATGCTTTTGCGTCCTCGTCGTCCTCGTCGTCTGCCATGGTGGCGTGGCAGGCATAAAAGCGTTTATGAGCAAGAGCTGGGTTCTGAGTGGGGCTGAGGGCTTCAGTGCCGCGTGGGGGGGGGGGGGGGGGGCAGTGGCTGTTTAGGTCCGCATCCTCAACCTTCACCCCTAAACCGTACATCCTACGTCCTAGGTAGCTATCCCTAAACCCTAAACCCTAAACCCTAAACCCTAAACCCTATCTTTTGCTTGGTATGTCCTTCAATTCGGTGCGCTGCAGTGACTACTTCTGGATCTCCTATGAAACGACGCTGCGGAGCCAAAGGCAGCCCCACGCCTCTGCTTGGAATGGCCGCTTGTGGGCTACGCCCTGAGCCCTGAGTTCGGGTTTATGGTCTAGGGTTAGGGTTTAGGGTTGAGGGTTGAGGGTTGAGGGTTGAGGGTTGAGGGTTGAGGGTTGAGGGTTGAGGGTTGAGGGTTGAGGGTTTAGGGTTTAGGGTTTAGGGTTTAGGGTTTAGGGTTTAGGGTTTAGGGTTTAGGGTTTAGGGTTTAGGGTTTAGGGTCTTGGGTTCAAGGTATGGGGGTCAGGCATTTTGGTGTAGGCCCACTTGCATAAAACGGTGTTGGGATTCGAATGGGATGTTGGTTACGACGATCCCCCTGCAAAATCCCCTCATTGTTTAAGTATGAACTCGGAGGAGGGCATTCTGAACCCGAGCCCCACACTACAAACCCTAAGCTCGATCGAAACTGCGAAGGTAGGGGCTTAGGGAGTTTAGGGGCGAGGGGGGTAGTGGGGGTATAAGGGGGGCTATAAGGAGGGGTATAAGGGGTTTTCAGTGATGATGTCCATCTCCATGCTACGCTTAAGCAAGGGTAGCTGAGGGGGCTCACATGAAGGACAGCTTCTAAAGGGGCGCAGGAACACTACACTAACACTACCCTCCCTGAACCCTAACCCGAAATCCTAAGCCCGAACCCCTAAACCCTAAAGCCCACGGGGAGGTTGTTGTATTGAGGGCTTACACAGCTTCAGAGTGTTGCAGCGTCTGTGAGGCTCATAGGGCGTATATAGGGTTCTTGGTTGGCCCTTTAAACCCTTCGAAAACTACATGTATATAGGGTCCCTTATCAACACAAACAAAGGGTAGTTTCATGGTGTCCCTTGCCTTCTTTATGGAGTTCTGATGTATGGGCCTTGGGTTGTACGAGGTATATAAGGGGTGTATACGGAGGTTTAAGGGCCCAACCACGGGACCATGCAACCACCCTTAGAAAACAGAAAAAACTCGAAGGTATCCGCAAAGGCCAACCTAGTGTTTTCAAGAATTTGTACACAGGGTTTGGGGTTTAGGGTTTAGGGCTTAGGGTTTAGGGTTTAGGGTGTACAGGGTTTCGCTTTTTGTAGGGTCTGAGCAATCCTGGCTGGCGCGAGCGCCCTGCAGGCGGCGCCCATTCCGAGGGCTTTCAAGCAGATTTCCAGCCCCTTTGTGTCAACTCTGAACACTGTGGCCCTAAACCCTAAACCCTAAACCCTAAGCCCTAAACCCTAAACCCTAAACCCTAAACTTCGAATACTCTCCATCCTCAACGCTTCGCTCACTCTTCCGCCCCAGTCAGCCGATCACCTCTTTCGACTGGGGCGCTCACGCCTCAGGAGCCGCTCCCGTGAGGGGCAGAACAAGCGTTTAGGGTTTAGGGTTTAGGGTTTAGGGTTTAGGATTTAGGGTTTAGGGTTTAGGGTTGTATAGGGTTTAGGGTTTAGGGTTTAGGGTTTAACGGTTGACAGTTGAGGGTTGAAGGGTTAAGAATTCGGGGCGTTTGGTTTAGGGTTGAGGGTTGAAGGGTTCTGGGTTTGGGGGGGGCTTAGGGTTTAACACCCAATGCCCAAATCCACACCCCAGACACGAAACCCTAAACCCGACACCCTACACCCTACACCCTGAACCCTTCACCCTCCTCCCTACACCCTACACCCTACACCCTCCACCCTAAACCCTAAACCCTAAACCCTAAACCCTAAACCCTAAACCCTAAACTGGCCTTTCCATGGACTTCATGACCAAGCCTTCCACTTCCACGGTCTCTTCCGCCTGAAGCAACGACAATCTGGGGGCTCGGGCTTGAAGGGGCTTTAGGCTTAGGGCCTAGGAGGGCTTGGGGTTTAGGGTTTAGGGTTTAGGGTTTAGGGTTTAGGGTTTAGGGTTTAGGGTTTAGGGTTTAGGGTTTAGGGTTTAGGTTTCGAGTTTAGGGTTCAGGGTTTAGGGCTTGGGCTTTAGGAGGGTTTAGGAGCGCTTTGGCTTCTCATACGGTTGACGGACTTGGGCGGCTTGAGCAGTTGTTGGGCTCAGCGCTTGAGCTCGCGGGTTTTTTTAAGGGTTGGTTTGCTAGGGTGGCCATGTAAACCAGCTGAAAACACATTCCCAAAGATGATCCCCTCAAACTCAAGTGAGGGAAAACACACACACACACACACACACACACACACACACACACACACACACACACACACACACACACACACACACACACACACACACACACACACACACACACACACACACACAAGTATTCCCAAAAAACCCACCGACTTTGAATTTCCTTCCGGCAGGGGATCCCGAACCCTAAATCCTAAGCCCTAAACCCTAAAGCCTAAACCCTAAACCCTAAACCTTAAACCCTAAACCCTAAACCCTAGCCCTAAACCCTAAATCCTAAAGTCCGGGGAGGGGGAAGGGAGGCTCGGTCTGGGCCTTGATGCTCCCTCGCAACCCCTCCGGCTCGCTACCGAAGCTCTCACCTCCAAGATCCGAAGCCCTGCCCAAGCAACATCAACCCCCTCGGGCGGTTTAGGGTTTAGGGTTTTGTGCTTCGGGTTTAGGGTTTAGGGTTTGGGGTTTGGGGTTTAGGGTTTAGGGTTACGGCTTAGCCCTTAGACCCTAAGCCCTACATTTCGACGTCTAGACTCTAAGTATGAGCCCTCAGAAGCTCGAAGCCCTGCAGTCTCTCACAGGTAGCTTGCGGGGTCTTCGGGTGCAGGTAGGGGTTAAACCCTAAACCGTAAACCCTGGTGAGACCCTGAACCCGTAAACCCTGAACCCTAACACCCAAGACCCTAAACCCGAAGACCCTAAGCCCAAGGGGGTTACCGGTTAAGGGCCAAAACCCTAAACCCGGAACAGTGTGGTCAGGGCTTAGGGCTCAAACCCCTAAACCCAAAAACACTAAACCCTAAACCCTAAACCCTAAACCCTAAACCCGGAACACCGGGCTTTAGGGTTAGGGCTTAGGGGGTTTGCCCATGGTGCCTTCTCTTCCTTCTCGTCCTTCCCTTCCTCGGCCTGCGAAAAGAGGGTTTAGGGGTTTAGGGTTTAGGGTTTAGGGTTTAGGGTTTAGGGTTTAGGGTTTAAGTTTAGGGTTTGGGGTTTAGGGTTTAGAGTTTAGGGTTTAGGGCTTAGGGTTTAGGGCTACGGGGCTCTCGACAGACCACCCGAGAAAAGGTTGAGGGCTACGGACAACCCAAACCCAGGCCTTCGACAAATCGCGTTCTAAGTTCAGGGTTTAGGGTTTAGGGTGTAGGGTGTAGTGTTTAGGGTTGGGGCTTTCCCCAGAGTGTCCATCCATGTGTAGTACTACTATGGAATTAATTAAGTACCCAGAAACCATACCAAATAGGGTTTGGGGTACCTGATTCCATAATCGTACTACAAACACCCTCTGGGTGATTCCGCCTGCAACCCCTGAACCCTGAACCCTTGACCTAAAGCCCTGTTTCTAGAAAGCCTTGCATGGCAGCCCTGCAGCCCTACACCTGGGCCTGCGCCCTAAACGCTAAACCCACCTAAAAACCCAGAAAAGTCCTAAGAACCCTAACAACCCTAAAACCCCAAAAAATCAAACCTAAGAAAACCTAAAAGCCCCACAAGCCCTAAAAAATCCTAAAAACCCTGAAGACCCCAAAAGCCCTAAAAAACCTCTAAGAGCCCCAAAAAAAAGCCTTAAAAAAAAAACCTCACAAAAAAAACCTAAACCTCTTTTGAGAGACCCTGACCTCCGCTGGCGCTGCGGCTGCCGCAGCACTGGGGCCTGGAATCTCCAGACCTGAGGTGGCTGGCGGGGGCCAACAGGTTTTGTGAGACCTAGGGTTTTAGGGCTTTAGGGTTTAGGGTTTAGGGTTTAGGGTTTTAGGGTTTTAGGGTTTAGGGTTTAGGGTTTAGGGTTTAGGGGTTTAGGGTTTAGGGGTTTAGGGTTAAGGGTTTAGGGGTTTAGGGTTAAGGGTTTAGGGTTTAGGGGTTTAGGGTTTAGGGGTTTAGGGTTTAGGGTTTAGGGGTTTAGGGTTTAGGGTTTAGGGGTTAGGGTTTAGGGTTTAGGGTTTAGGGGTTTAGGGTTTAGGGGTTTAGGGTTAAGGGTTTAGGGTTTAGGGGTTAGGGGCTAGGGTTTAGCCCATCGTCTCCTAATATTTAAAATAACGCTACATAATAGTCCCGTCGACATGTTCTTGAGGGGGCCTCTCATATTCTGGGTTCGTTCGGGCTTTTAGGGTTTTACAGTTTGGAGGGTACCGTGGTACGCACTTGGGTTTGAGCTCTACCCTGCTGCTGCCCCAAAGAGAACAAACTTGTGTCCTGTACACCCGCGCTCTGTTGCAATGAAATCGGAGCATCAGACCCTGAACTGCAAACCCAGAACCCTGTAATCCCCCAAAACCTAAACCCTGAACCCCAAGCCTAAACGCAAACCCCAAACCCTAAACCGTAAACCCTGAACCCTAACCCACGACTGACTGCCCGAAAGCCGGCATCCAACCACTATTCGGGGTCTGGGCAACGGGGTTTCAGACTGCTTTCCCAGAGAGACCACATGTGGTACTATTCTGGAATTAGGTTTAGGGTCTAGGGTTTAGGGTTTAGGGTTTAGGGTTTAGGGTTTAGGGTTTAGGGTTTAGGGTTTAGGGTTTAGGGTTTAGGGTTTAAGGTTTAGGGTTTAGGGTTTCGGGTTTCGGGTTTAGGGTTTAGGGTTTAGGGTTTACGGTTTGGAGTTTTGGGTTCAAGGGTTAGGGCCTTACCCAGAAGGTCCATTCGCGGTACTCTTTTGGAATTGGGGTTTAAGTTTTAGGGCTTACGGGTTAGGGCCTTCCCTAGACGGTCCATTTGTAATGCTATTATGGAATCAGGTACACAAAAACCGTACAAAATAGTGTTCTTGGCTAATTCCATGATCGTACTCCAGAATGGACCCTTTGGGTTTGAAGGTGTGAATGCATTTCGGGCAAGCCATGTCCACGTTCAGCACTCTGCACTTTCATGCAAGGAAAGGAGATCGAAACACGGATGTTGCTACTGGTAGCTGCCAGGTGGGACTAATGAGTTTCGCTCGGGTGCTGGCCGTACTCCTTCAGCCTTGGTTTGCAAGCACAGGAGATGAACCGAAACAAGTCCTACACCCTAAACCCTCAAGCGTACTAAACCCTAAACCCTTAAACCCTACGCCCTAAACCCACATCAGCCCTGGAGCTTACATCTTCAGAGCTGGACAAACGACACGTGTGACATTCTGACCCCAACTACACATGGCAAGGATGGGTTTAGGGTTTAGGGATTAGGGTTTAGGGATTAGGGTTTAGGGTCTCGGGTTTAGGGTTTAGAGCTTAGGGTTTAGGGTTTAGGGTTTAGGGTTTAGAGTTTAGGGTTTAGGGTTTAAGGTTTCGGGGTTTAAGGTTTAAGGTTTAGGGTTTAGGGTTTAGGGTTTAAGGTTTAGGGGCTAGCTTTTCTGTCATACCCATAACTGAATCAACCTTCGGCTCTCTCAGAGGTTGCGACTATACTAGTCCATCCCGGCGCTTTCAGGGACTCATCGGCATGGCGTTGAGCAGAACGTTTTGCTGTCACTACATCGCCTGCAAGCAATCAGGAGCCTCCTCAACCATCCACGCGGCGCGGAATGTCCTCAGAAGCCCTGGCCTACATCAACCACTACTGCGGCAAGCAAGGTCCTACTGGCACAATCCACAAAAAGTCGACCCTTCATCCTCCGGAGCCAAACCTGAGCTCACCTTCTGTCAAGCCAAGATCACGAAACTGCGTGCGCACGTACAAGACCTCGAGCCAGCGCCACAAAAGACTTGCGGCTGTTCGCCTGTTGTTGATTGAGACGCTCTCGAAATTCCTCACGCTGCGCGTCGAACACCGAACCCTCAACCTGAACCCCACCTAGCGGAGCGGTCTCTGCTCAACAAAAAAACCCAGAAGGGAGGCTGCCTGAAGGATCTGGCATGTTTACCCTTTTTGTGAGAAGGCGGACCGCTCAAGGGGAAGGCCCTAAACCACAGGCGCCAAAAATCTCAGCATGCACTTGGCAGACTTCCTCCATTTTCGGGTTTAGGAGTTCAGGGCCTTAGCGTTCGGGATTGGGTCTTACTTAGGGTTTGGGACTTGGGGCTTTTTCGGGTTTGGAGTTTAGGTCTTCAAGGCTTAGACATCGGAGGATCCGTAATAAAATCTGAGGGATGCCTCATGAAGGAGGTCTGCAAAGTCATATTAGGATCCAATAGTCAATACACGATCGCGTAGACTAAGTCATCGCCCCCCCAAAAGAACTAAACACCACACCCAAGAGTAACCTAGGTATAAACACGGCCCGTTTTGCAAAGGGCTGGTAAGCAGACCCCAAACAAACAAGACCCTTAAAAAAACGAAAAGGGTCTACTCTGGACCCTAGTCGAGCTTCTTGGTCCTCCAATCAAAAACCCTAACCCCCAAAGCCAATAAACCCCAATTCCTAAACCCTTTCAACCTCAAACCTAAACCCCAAACCCTATATAATTAAACCCTAAACCCCGAGCCCTAAACCCGAACTAAACCCTAAACCCCAAACCCGAAACTGAAGCGAGCTGCGGGCGCTGTGGTGAGCAGCAGCGAGCGTGCAGGCTGCCAGCTCCGGAGCTGTCGCGTCAGTCGCAGCGAAGGAGCTCCGTTAACTGCACCTGGAAGGTGCCGGCGCAAGCGACAGGCGTGCTAGAATTGCGCGAGGCCGCAAGGACGGGCCTTCCCCGTGTGTAAGGACGGGCCTTCCCTGTAAAGCCTTCCCTGTAAGGAGGGGCCTCCCCATAAGGGGCCTTCCTGTTCTTGCAAAGAGGGGCCTTCCCGTCACGAGGCCCCCACTTGCCAGTTAGGACATTCTGGCATCCTGAGTGGCAGAGTCGAACTGCTGCATCTTCTTTCGGCGCGTCGCTCCCCTTCTTATGGGGAAGTGAACTTATTCTAACCGTATTTCTGTTTTGTTTCTTGAACTCGCGGGCCCTGGCGGCGCCCCTCAAGTGAAAACTACCAACGGTCTCTCCATCCACAGTAGCATCATGGACCGGGGAAACTTCCCGGTAAGTTTTTGCCGGCCTTCCACGCATAGGGCAAGTCTTCCCCGTAAGGAGGAGCCTTACCTGTAACGAGGGCAAAATGCTTACACCAGGCAGGACAGACTCCCATGCATCTTTGGCTCGCTTTGCGGAGTTGGCTCGAAACCGCTCAGTTAGGTAGGATCCACTCCACTTGTACCTAGGCGAACTTTCACATCATGCCTCGTGCGCGCGCCGGCACAGGCACGGTTGACGCGGACCATTGGGGCCCCCCGCGCCGGAGTGAGGCGGACAAGTCGGGGGAGAAGAAGGGCGCATGCATGCTTGCGGTGCTTACTTTAAGAGCGCTTCACTTTGCCTCGCAGCCGTTTTTGTTTGCATCGGGTGGCAGTGACAAGGACAATCGTAAACATATAGCAGCCCCACAAAGATTTAACAGTTTTCAGTCTGCTGGTTTCATAGGACAGGTAAGAGCCTGAAGATTTAACAACCCTTTAAACCCGACCAGGCGGGTTGGGAGAGGACGTGAACCTTGGCGCGCACCACAACACACGCCCTGCGTGGTGGTGTGCACGGAGCGTGTGACACACTCTAAGCCCTAAACCCCAGACCCTAAACCCTAAACCCCAAACCCTGAACCCTAAACCCCAAACCCTAAACACCCAAACCCTAAACCCTAAACCCTAAACCCTAAACCCTAAACCCTAAACCCCAAACCCCAAACCCTGAACCCCAAAAGGGAAAACGCACTGGGGACCGATCACAGCCGGCAGCGCCTTGTGCGCTGCGGCGACCTGGATCATGAGGGCTCGGGAAGGGGTGGGTTTAGGGCTTAGGGTTGAGGGTTGAGGGTTTAGGGTTTAGGGTTAGGGTTTAGGGTTTAGGGTTTAGGGTTTAGGGTTTAGGGTTTAGGGTTTAGGGTTTAGGGTTTAGGGTTTAGGGTTTAGGGTTTAGGGTTTAGGGTTTAGGGTTTAGGGTTGGACAGGGCATAGGGCTCAAGGTTTAGTCTAGGGAAAAGGGCCTGAGAGGTTCTTGGGCTTTAGGGCCGGAGGCTTATGGAACTCGAGGGTTAGCTTATGGAACTTCAGGGTTTTAAAGGCTTGAGGGGTGTGGGCTTGGGGGAGGGCGGAGACCTTGGAGGTCTCAAAACGTGGCATAACTAAGCTGTAGCTACTTGTTGCAGCTTCTTCTGGCATACTATTGTGATGGTGGCAGTGGTGGGACTGTTAAGTTGAGTATTGACATGAACACAGTAGTGGTGAGCAGGACGATGACAATGATAATTAGTGAACGACGATGATAGTCAGGACGAGGACGAGGGTGAGCTCGGCAACCATCGTGATGATGATCATGATGATGCTGGTGGTGGTGTTGACTGCGACGATGATGATGCTTTCTTTAATGATGATTCCCATGGTGATGATGAATTCTTACGACTATTATCAGTAGAATGTTATCATGATCATTTAGTATAACCATGATAATTAGTTCTTACTCCTCCTGTTGTTAATACGATTAGTACGATTGCTACTATTGCTACCAAAGAGGAGTACTACAAAGGCCTTCAACTTTAAAGGCTTAGCGCTAAGGGTTTTGATTTTGGGCCTTTGGCCCACCAAGAACTCCCAAATGCCCCTATACAAATTCAGGAGCAAGTTCAGATTTATCTGAGGACGTCTACAGGCCACTATGACTTACGGAATGCTGTCAAGGGATTCAAGGCTATACTTAAAGGTCCAGCTGTTGTCACGGTAGGGCTTAAGCTCCCTAATCCCTAAACCCTGAACCCGAAACCCTAAACCCTAAACCCTAAACCCTAAACCCTAAACCCTAACTAACCCTAAACCCTAAGCCCTAAACGATTAACCCTACTTGGGATTTTGGAAAAACCTGGGCATGTCTTGGGGTCAGCACCTCTTTCGCGCCCCCCGTCAGCACGACGCTGAACTGGGGCCTCGCGTGAAGGGCTTTTTAGGGTTTTGGGTTTGGGGTTTAGGGTTTAGGGTTTAGGGTTTAGGGTTAGGGTTTCGGGTTTAGGGTTTATCGCTAGGGTCCGGGTGCAGGGGCAGGCCCCGTAAGTCAAGATGAGGTTCATCAACATACGGCGGTGGCCACAAGAAACCCTAGACACCCGAAACCCTCAACCCCCAAAGGCGTTTGCCCCAAGGGTCCATGTCACCATGTCCCCATAGTACATACTTGGGCCACGGCGCTTCTATGTGAGAAGCCCTTGCAGGCCCAAATGTATGCTACATAGGTAACCCGAAATCCTAAACCCTAAACCCTACACCCTCAACCCCAACCCTAAACCCGAAACTCTACACCCTAAACCCTAAACCCCAAACCCTAAACCCGAAGCCCTAGACCCCCCCTTGTAAGCTCCAGGCCAGCCATCTGGGCAGTTGAGCTCCGCCCGCAGCTCATGCGTCATTGAAAACCTCGATAGGGTTCAGGTTTAGGGTTTAGATTTTAGGGCTAGGGTTTAGGGTTCAGGGTTTAGGGTTTAGGGTTTAGGGTTCAGGGTTCAGGGTGTAGGGTTTAGGGTTTAGGGTGTCTGGGGTGTAGGGGGCGGGTTAGGGTTTGGTGTTCCAGTTGGGGTATGGGTCAGATATTGGGCTCTGCTGCTGAGCACCCGTTTAAGCACGGCCCAGCTTCATCCGAGAAAGGCGTGCCTAGAGCAGCTTCTCCCCGCTCAACAGCCGCCAATCCGGCAAGCTACAAACGCCGAACCTTCAGACAAACCCTAAACCCTAAACCCTAAACCCCGAACCTAAACCTTCGAATCCTCCGAACCGAACCTCAAAACGTCCTTGCAAACATTAAAACCAAGGCTTGTTTCAAGGCCTCTTCGGGCTTGCTCTTTACAAGGCATGGCGGGCCTGTATGAAGGGAGTAAATGCACATGAAGCCCACACACGCTCATCCTTATCGAAACCCCGAAAGGGGTACCCCCCACCCTCCCACTTTTTGGGAACTCCGAACATGGGTAGCTGGGGAATCGCGCTGGTCCATGTCGCTGAGAAGCGCCTCGCGAACTTCGTCTTCCATCTGATTCAAGACCTGGGCTCATTCTACCCTTCTTCATGTTGCTGGGTTGCATTGTCCATGCCGCCACCTTCGTTTTTTGGCAAGTTTTTGAGCTGAATGGAACCGCTTTTCGCTCTTTTGTCAGGTTTGGGGCATGATTCTTGGATGGTGTTGGTTCGCCCGTTTTGAGCAGATTGTTGTTGGCGGAATTGAGCGAGCAGATTGAATGCAGTGCCATCAAGTTGGCTGAGCTGATATGATATATCAATCTGTCAGCACTCTTAAGCTCAAGAGACATGTTTCAAATCAAAAAACTCCTCTTCGGACCTTTTGCGGTGAAGAAGTTATCCGCGTCTTTTTTTTTGGGTTATCTGCGTCTTTTTTTTTTGGTTGTCTGCGTCTTTTTTTTTGTGGTTACCTGCGTCTTTTTGGTCTTGGTTTCCTGCAGCGCCTCGCACTTTTGCTTCCATCCTGGGTTGTCTGCGTCTTTTTTTTTTGGGTCATCTGCGTCTTTTTTTGCCTTCTTGCGTTGAGGGGTCAGGTTTGCGGAGAGGTTCAAGGTTTAGGGTTTAGTTGGGGTTTCGGGTTTAGGGTTTGGGGTTTGAGGTTTAGGCTTTAGGGTTTACAGTTCAGGTCTTGGGGTTTGAGGTTTAGGGTTTGGGTTTAGGGTTTAGGGTTTAGGGTTTAGGGTTTCGGGTTTAGGGTTTAGGGTTTAGGGTTTCGGGTTTAGGTTTTGGGTTAGGTTTGGGGAGAGGTTTAGGGTTTAGGGTTTAGGGTTAGGGTTTGGGCTTTGAGGTTCAGGCTTAGGGTTTACAGTTCAGGTTTTGGGGTTTGAGGTTTAGGGTTTGGGTTCAGATTTTAGGGTTTAGGCTTTAGGGTTCAGGGTTTAGGGTTTAGGGTTTCGGGTTTAGGGTTTAGGGTTTGGGGTTGGTTTTGGGTTAGGTTTGGGGAGAGGTTTAGGGTTTAGGGTTTAGGGTTTCGGGTTTAGGGTTAGGGCTTTGAGGTTTAGGCTTAGGGTTTACAGATCAGGTTTTGGGGTTTGAGGTTTAGGGTTTGGGTTTAGGGTTTAGGGTTTAGGGTTTAGGGTTTAGGGTTTAGGGTTTAGGGTTTAGGGTTTAGGGTTTAGGGTTCAGGGTTCAGGGTTCAGGGTTTAGGGTTTAGGGTTTGAGGTTTAGGGTTTCGGGTTTAGGGTTTGGGGTTTGAGGTTTAGGGTTTAGGGTTTAGGGTTAGGGTTCAGGCTTTAGGCTTTAGGGTTTGGGGTTTAGGGTTTCGGGTTTAGGGTTTTGGGTTTGGGGTCTCGGGTTTCGGGTTTAGGTTTTGGGTCAGGTTTGGGGAGAGGTTTAGGGTTTAGGTTCGAGGTTTAGGGTTTAGGGTTTAGGGTTAGTGTTCAGGCTTTAGGGTTTAAGGTTTAGGGTTTAGGCTTTAGGGTTTAGGGTTTTGGGTTTAGGGTCTCGGGTTTCGGGTTTAGGTTTTGGGGTTTGAGGTTTAGGGTTTAGGGTTTAGGGTCTGGGATGTGGGGTTTCAATTTTATATTTACAGGGTTTACGCTTGGGATTTAAGGTCTAGGGTTCAGGGTTTATGGTTTCTGTTTTTTAGGGTTTAGGGTTTAGGGTTTCGGGTCTCGGGTTTCGGGTTTAGGGTTTAGGGTTTGGGGTTTGAGGTCTAGGCTTTAGGGTTTACAGTTCAGGTTTTGGGGTTTGAGGTTTAGTTTAGGGTTTAGGGTTTAGGGTTTAGGGTTTAGGATTTAGGGTTTAGGGTTCAGGGTTTAGGGTTTAGGGTTCAGGGTTCAGGGTTTAGGGTTTCGGGTTTACGGTTTGAGGTTTGGGGTTCAGGGTTTCGGGTTCAGGGTTTCGGGTTTCGGGTCTAGGGTTTCGGGTTTAGGGTTTAGGGTTTGAGGTTTAGGGGGGTGTAGGGTTTAGGGTTTGGGGTTTGAGGTTTAGGGTTTCGGGTTTAGGGTGTACGGTTCAGGGTTTGCGGTTTGAGGTTTAGGGTTAAGGGTTTAAGGTTTAGGGTTTGGGGTTTGAGGTTCAGCATTTAGGGCCTAGGGTTCAGTGCTAGGGTTTAGGGTTTAGGGTTTCGGGTTTAGGCTTTAGGTTTAGGTTTAAGGTCCAGGGTTCATGGTTTGGGGCTTAGGGTTTAGGCCTCAGGGTTCCGGGTCAGGGTTCAGGGTTCAGGGTTTCGGGTTTAGGGTTTGAGGTTTAGGGTTCAGGGTTTACGGCTTGGGGTTTAAGGTCAAGGGTTTAGGGTTGAGGGTTTCGGGTTTGTAGTTTTTGGGTTTAGGGTTGAGGGTTGAGGGTTTCGGGCTTAGGGCTTGGGGTTTAGGTTTAGGGTTGCAGGGCTTTCGGCTCCGGGTCAGTGTTTAGGGTTCCTTGGTCGGGGGTTTGGTGTCTTGGCATTTGGGTTTGGATTCGGTTTCGGGGTGAAGGGGGCAAGGCTGAGGATTTAGGGTTGAGGCCCCAGGGTTTCAGGTCTCAGGGCTTAGGGTTTGGGGGCTGAGGGTTTCAGCGATTTGGCATTTACGCTTCAGGGTTTAGGGTTTGGGCTTGACTCGTGCCTACCAGCTCCTGCCTGGGACAAGATGGGTCTTTAAGGGACCAGAAGCGCGAATTCACCAACGGGCGAAGGGAGCTGCTCTGTCGGCATGGTCCTAAACCCTGCACCCTAAACCCTACACTCCCTAAACCCCCAAACGTGGCAAGTGGGTTGACACCCGGACCCCTGTAAAACCTGTTTTGCCTCGCGCAGGGCTCCACTCTGCCATCCAAAACGCGGGTGCTCAGCGCCAAAACCCTCGGATTTGAGGTGTAGGCCTTCGGGCCTTACGACGCACTTGCACCGTGAAGATGCACGGACTCCACTCCACACCTCTCAAGGGGACAGAATAATTGCTAGGCCAGGAAGTGAAATTAACGACCTCGGGCTAGAGGCCCTTAAAATTTGAACCCTGAACCCCAAATCCTGCAAGTTCTCAGCCGCTAAGCTCAGCAAGTCAGCAGGAGGGGGGCCGCACTTCTTCCCCTGCTTCCTGGGCTGCAGAGGCTGGCTCGAGCTTTTTTCCAGCTTGGGGGGGTTTATTGATAGGGTTCGGTACAGGGTTTTTGACCTTCCGGTTTGGGCTTTGGGGTTCAGGGCTCAGGCTTTAGGGTTTAGGGTTTTATATGGGGATTATTCTTTTTTGTGGGCCATTTGGGGACTGGGAATATCCGGGAAAAAAAGAGGACCGTAAAGAGGGGTCGCAATTTAGAACAACCCCCCCAACAATCCTAAACCCTAAACCCTAAACCCTCCACCCGAGGATTCAGCTGTGTCAGGGCCTACAGGGTCAGCAGCAACCACTGCGACATTTCTGTCTGCGAATGGATATCCATGCTCCAGCCTTGAAAGTCCTGCATCGCAAACCCAATGAGGCAATCCCTCCACCTTGGTAGTCCCAATGACGATGTAGGGTACCTTCCATATATATATATATATATCTCTCTATCTCTCTCTCTCTCTATATATATACATCTACCTAGAGGGAATTAAGGATGCCTATATATATATATGTGTGTGTATATATATATGGGCATACATACATATATATATATATATATAATCTTTGAGGGATAAAGTGGTAGCCCCAGTAGCTGGAATTTGTCACGGGCACCCCTTGTTGGGGTTGGTCATGTTGTGAGGGAAGCACTGGGCTGCCAAGCCCGTGAAAGCAGGCACTGCACTCCACGCCGGGCTTGAGCCACATGGCCGCAGCGCAACTCTGCCGCCCGTGTTCGTGCGAACCCTCAACCCTAAATCCTAGACACTGAACCCTAAACCCTCTACCCTAAACCTGCCAAGAATAGCACGTGAGCCATGGAGCCTTTGATGTGCACGTTGACTTTCCCTTTGTCTCTGCTGCTAGTCTCTTGCCAACGATGCACCGTCCCGCTCTGCAGGGTCATAGCAACATGTCGACTGTTTCAGGTCTGAAGAAAACCAGAACAAAACCACGAAGAAAGTCATGTAGTGATGATGTGCCACCCCAGATCGTTTTTGCCCTCAGCCTTCCGAAAAGATGTCATGATAAAGGCGACTAAGAAATCCTGCGTCAAAGGTGCTCATGAAGTCAGACGCTCAGCCATGAGACACGAAAGGGCGGAGCGGAGGAGACTGATCTACTTGCCGGGTGCTCGGATGTCGGACAGTGACGGCTTGAGAACCCCCCCCCCCTTCCCCCGCCCCTCCCCAATCTTTTTTATCGCTGTTAGGTTTTCTTTGTTTTTTTCGCCCTCCGATGAAATCTGCGTCCGGGCATACACCACACGGTGGGCCATGCAAGTCCCTGTAACATGTTCACGGAGTGTGCCTCGTCGTCAACCGTTCCACCCCAACCCATTCTGGAAAGCGCCCATGGGCACCAGGGACATCGGCCATGTGCCTAGCAACACATGAGAAAGTTCTCCAGATCGCCAAGCCCCTCTGCAGAAACCCTGAAAACACTACCCTAAACCCTATACGTGCTTTGATATCTGCATGTTGCGTCATTTTAGGATTTTGGGTTGTTTTTGCATGGGATGTTGCGTACATTTTGGGAAGAAGTTGTTTTCAGGTCTATTTTCAAAATGTTTTTTTCAGATGAGTTTTGGGTTTCCAAGGTTTGCGTGCTTTGATATCTGCATGTTGCGTCATTCTGGGATTTTGGGTTGTTTTTTGCATGGGATGTTGCGTACATTTTGGGCAGAGATCGTTGTTGGGTCTGTTTTCTGTAAAAAAGATCAGCTGAGTTTTGGGCTTGCCAAGGATTTGAGTGCTGTGAAATGTGCAGTTTTGGTCGTTTAGGGATTTCGGGTAGGTCCAGGTAGGTCAGGTCGGTGGGAAGCTGCTCCTCTGTGCTCTGCAATCGCCAAAAACCCACCTCAACCCCATAAACCCCCACAATTCCCTGGGGACGTCGTCCCAAACCCTGCAAGACAGAGGCCCAGGCTTGCCGAAGGTCAAGGTCTGCAGGCCGCTGGGAAGTTCCACCCCTTCCAAGCTCTGATGACGGCGCATGACGAAGGTCCAGGTCTGTGCGCTAGGTTGCTGGGAAGCTGCGCCCCTGTGCTCTGCAATCACTAAACTGCAAGCAAAACATATTTACACAAGCAAATGAAAACCACATCTACCCAGACCAAAAAACCATAGGGACATCGTCCCAAACCCTGCAAGACAGAGGCCCAGGCTTGCAGAAGGTCAAGGTCTGCAGGCCGCTGGGAAGTTCCACCCCTTCCAAGCTCTGATGACGGCGCATGACGAAGGTCCAGGTCTGTGCGCTAGGTTGCTGGGAAGCTGCGCCCCTGTGCTCTGCAATCACTAAACTGCAAGCAAAACATATTTACACAAGCAAATGAAAACCACATCTACCCAGACCAAAAAACCATAGGGACATCGTCCCAAACCCTGCAAGACAGAGGCCCAGGCTTGCAGAAGGTCAAGGTCTGCAGGCCGCTGGGAAGTTCCACCCCTTCCAAGCTCTGATGACGGCGCATGACGAAGGTCCAGGTCTGTGCGCTAGGTTGCTGGGAAGCTGCGCCCCTGTGCTCTGCAATCACAAAACTGAAAGCAAAACATATTTACACAAGCAACTGAAAAACCACATATACCCAGGCCGGAAATCCATAGGGACGTCGTCCCGGGCACCCGTGGTGTCAGCCACCGGACTCAGACACCGTCTCGCCCCGATCGGGGACCGCGGCCCCCTGAGTCACGCACCTCCGTGGCAGTATCGGTGACCACCCCGGAGCGGTGTCAGGAACCCCAAAGCCCCCGCACAGCCCCAAGCATGCCTCTGTCTATGCAGCTCCTGACGGGTTCCGCTAGCCCCCTCACAGCCCTCACAGCCCCTCCCAAGCTCGCCTCTTTTTCGTGTCCAATCCAGAAGCCCCCTCACAGCCCTCGCGCCAAGCTTTTTTTTTCGTGTCTGCGCAGCTCCTCACAGGCTCCGCTAGCCGTCATTCATTTTTACAGGACGCGACTGCGCCCCATTCTTGGTCCGTCCCGCCCCCCCCCCCCCACCCCCCACCCCAGAAGCCAAACATATTTGCACAAGCAACTGAAAAACCACATCTACCCAAACCAAAAATCCATGGGGACATCGTCCCAAACCCTGCAAGACAGAGGCCCGGGCTTGCCGAAGCTCGAGGTCTGCAGGCCGCTGGGAAGTTCCACCCCTTCCAAGCTCTCATGACAGCGCACGCCGAAGGTCAGGGTCAGTACGCTAGCATGCTGGGAAGCTGCGCCCCTGTGCTCTGCAGTCACAATACTGTAAGCAAAACATACTTGCACAAGCAACTGAGAAAAAACCAAAAAAAAAAAAACGCATCTACCCCAGCCAAAAATCCATAGGGACGTCGTCCCAAGCCCTGCAAGTCTGCAGGCCGCTGGGAAGCTGCACCCCTTGCAAGCAAACACGTGCAGAAGGTCAAGGTCTCTAGGTCGCTAAGTCGCTTGCTCTGCAATCAGAAAACTGAATGCCAAAAATATCCACACCAGCAAGTCAAACAACAATTGAACCCGAAAGCCCCCAAAATCCATGCAGAGGCCCAGGCTTGCCAGAGGTCAAGGTCTGTAGGGCGCTGGGAAGCTCCACCCCTTCCAAGCTCGCATGAAGCACATGCCGAAGATCGAGGTCTCTAGCTAGGTCTCTAGGTCTCTAGATCGATAGGCCTCGGTCGCTAGGTCGCTAGGTCGCTCGGAAGCTAGGAAGCTGTCGACTGCGTCCCTGTGCTCTGCAATCACATAACGGAACTCACGAAATATCGACACCAGCAAATCCCGCAAACTGCAAGACAGAGGCCCAGGCTCGCGAAAGGTCAAAGTCTGCAAGCCGCTGCGAAGCACCCTTCCAAGCTCTCGTGAAAGCACATGCTGAAGGTCAAGGTCTCCAAATCGCTAGGTCGCTAGGAAGCTGCGCCCCTGTGCTCTGCAGTCACCAGCAACTCAGACAAGACTGCAACGCCGCAACCCCTCAAAATCCCTCGGCACGTCGTCCCACAGACTGCAACATTCAGAGACGCAGGGTCCTCGAGAAAGGAAGGGCGTCCCGTAGAGGACGCCACCAACGCCGACGCTGGCCTCAAGGTGCTCATTCGCGTTTTTCTCCACTCTTCCTGTGCCCTAAACCCTTTGGGGCCCCGAAGACAAAAGCTGAAGCAAAAAAAACGATTTTTTTCTGGTTTGGGGATCGGGCGGCTGTTTTGATGCTTGTTTTGCAGGTGTTTCGCCACTGGTTCGCGCTAGCAAGTCTGATGCAGCGTGCAACCCGACACGACCGCTCTCTGCACTTGTGGCATCTACCCCGGTATCGCAGGAACAGCAAGGCCCTACCCTCGAAGCATTGAAGACCATTCATAAGACCCTCAACCCTAAACCCCAAACCCTCAGCCCTCAACCCCAAACCCCAACACCCTGGCCCCAACCCCTAAACTCCCAACAACCTGAGCCTTCCCCCCTAGCTGTGGCCCCCGGCAGCCTCGGCAGGCGCGCGCCTCGTCGTCTGTAGATGCCATGGCTGAGACGCTTCCATGCTGCCCAGAATCCTCGACCCTAGGCAAGTTAAAACCGTGGGCCCCCGGCAACCAGGAATAGGGCCGAACCCCTTTGAACCCCTGTGTTGCGAATGAACCGCACCCTGGTCTGTGGCTGAGCCGCGTCCTTTTCTGTGCCTGATCCGCACCCTTTTCTGTGACTGATCCGCGTCCCCCGTCGTGACGAGGCGCGACCCCGGGTTTGGCGTACGAGCCGCGCACCGCGCACAGCGAGACGCATAACGCTCCCGAAGATGACGAGGCTTCCCATCGGGCACGCTGGGCTTTTTAGGGCATAAGGCCGCAAAACTTAGCCTGTTCAAGGTTGGCTTTTTGATCATGGTCTAAAAGGTTTAAGTTTGGAGAAAACAAAAAGGTAGGCAACACCTCCACCGGACAAGGGGTGCACCCAGAACTTAATTTGTCTAAGCCCCTGCCCCTTGGCACCTGGGCTTTGTTTCAAGACTTGCGGGAAGTTTTCGGGTTTTTCGGGCTTCTGGTGCTCTTAGGTTGTATGCGTTTTGGTGCTTTAGGGTTCTTGGGATGATGAGGCCTTTCTTCTGGGGTTCTAAGGGTCTTGAGCCTTTGGTGTCTTTGGGGTTTTCAGCCTTTAGGGTTTACGGTTGTGTAGTGTGTGACCTGTACGTATTATTAGCTTGCCCGAGAAGAAAAAGACGCGGATACTGCGAGAAAAAAAAGACACAGATAACGCACGAAAAAAAGACACAGATCCCGCGAAACGTCACAAGAAAGCAGGCTGTTCCTCGAGACGTCACCACGAAACAGCCAAAAAAAGACACAGGTAACGCAAAAAAAAAAGACACAGATAACGCAAAAAAAAAAAGACACAGATCACCCCCTTACCCCTTTTGCCACGATTGAGCCTGTTTGCCTCTCGAAGGGTCCATGCACCTAGGGCCATGCACCTAGATTGTACACAGGGTTCAGCGTTGGAGGGTCGGAGGGTTTAAGGTTTAAGGTGTACCCTTATGAGGTTCCCGGCTTCATGGGGCTCTGACAAAAACCGATACGACACCCTTTTCCGATGCGAAATCGGTTTTGGTATATCTGCTTATCTTCCAGGTGGAACAGGTTTCTGACGGTCCAAGAAAACCTTACATCCTGCTAAGCCCCAAACAGCCCTGAACTCGAAAAGGTAATATAAACCCGTGTGGAACTTGATCCCCAAGAAGACCCTAAGCCCTCAACCTTCTAAAAGGGTCTAGGGCAGTCTAGGGTTTAGGCCCTTTCAAAAGGGGTTTTGGGTTTACAGCTTTACGATTTGGTCTGCCTCTTGGGGGGAGAGATCTTAGCCGGGAGGCGCTCACCCGGCCAATCGTGATGTGCAGCACCTGCTACGAACACGATGACGGGGAAAAGGGTTTAGGGTTTATAGGATATAAAGGGTTCATAGGGTTCACTAAAGGCTCGGAGAGGCTTTATGGCTTTAGGGTTGAGGGTCAAGGGACTTTATAGCGTTTGTAGGGTTTATGGGGTTTAGGGTTATGGGTTTAGGGTCAACGGAAGTGCCCTTCTAAAGGACCCTTGGAATCATGTAGCTCCTTTGGCACTAGCGAAGGGTCACCCCTAACCCAGGCCTACTTGTGGCCCTTTTTGGCACCAGAAAGGGCTAGGCTTCAGAATTCAAATTTTCATTGGGCTCCCTCCCTCCCCCTCCCCCTAAACCCTCAAAAACCCCTACAAAGCCCAACCCTCCGTCCCCCCTCCTCACAAACCCTAAACCCTAAACCCTACACCCTACACCCTACACACCTCAAACCCTCTCCCAAAGCCCATGAACTCGAGCCACCAAACCCTTAACCCCTTAAGGGATGGGGTATAAGGTTTAGGCCTTAGGGTTTAGAGTTTAGGGTTTAGGGTTTGGGGAGGCCAGGGTTTAGGGTTGCAGGGTTGCAGGGTTTAGGGTTTAGGGTTTAGGGTTTTGGGTTTAGGGTTTCGCGGGGTAAGGGTACAGGGTATGGGGTTTTAGGGGTGTAGAGCTTGGGGTATAGGGTTGAGGAGATTTAGGGTATAGGGTTTGGGGCTTCACCCTCAACAGCCACCTCACCGTTCTTCAGCGAAATGCATGTACCTGGCTCGAGCACCTGTGGGGCTCACGGGCACTGCAGACATGTGACGGTTTACGCTTTGGGGCTTTATACCCTAAACCCTAAACCCTATTTACAACCTAAACCCTAAACCCTAACCCCGAAACCCTAAACCCTAAACCCTAAACCCCGAAACCCTAAACCCTAAACCCTAATCCCACACCCAGTGTAGGGCTTTACGGCCTTGATTGAGACTTTCGATCGTCTTTTGGCTAGGCGGGTCGCGGTTCATGGCTTGGCCGTTGGGGTTTATACGGTTGTGGAGTCACGGTAGGGCTTCTGGTTTCGGGCTTTCGGGTACGGGTTGAGGGGTTTGAGACTGAGACTCGAGCATTGTGGGGTTTAGGGTTTGCACGGCGGCTTTGGGATTGAGGCTTAAAACCTAACCCCTAAACCCTAAACCCTAAACCCTTAAGGCTTACAGGAGGACTGCGGGTTTTCGATTGGCAGATTGACGGCGTTGAGGCTTTTGCGCTGATGGATGCACATAGGCTGGCGCTACTTCCCGCGCATCCTCTTCAAGCAACATGACCTCAAGGGTTTAGGGTTTAGGGTTTAGGGTTTAGGGTTTGGGGTTTGGGGTTTAGGGTTTAGGGTTTAGGGTTTAAGGTTTAGGGTTTGCGGTTTAGGGTTTAGGGTTTAGGGTTTAGTGATGCAGCAAGGAGTGGAAGTGTCAGGCAGGAATTGCAGGGTGCAACTTGGAAGGCATCAAACCCCAAACCCTAAACCCTAAACCCTATAAACCCACAAACCCTAAACCTCAAAGCCCATACAAAACCCTGTAAACCCCGTAAAGACCCTAAGAAAACTAAACCCTATAAACCCCGCAAACCCTATACCTCAAAACCCTTTAAGACACCATAAACCCACAAAAAAACCTAAGACAACCCTGTAAAACCCCATAAACCCCATAAAAACCCCAAGACTCAGGGGAGCAACCCTAATCCCCAAACCCCAAACCCCAAACCCTAAACCCCAAACCCCAAACCCTAAACCCTAAACCCCAAACCCCAAACCCTAAACCCTAAACCCTAAACGGCCCTAAACCCGAAACCCTAAACCCAAGCCCCAGGCACCTGGAGGATGTTGTCGTTTTTGATGGCCTTCTCCTCTCCTGGGCGTAGAGAAAAAACACCCCAAACCGGCTCCCTGGCGCCTTAGGGTTTAGGGTTTAGGGTTTGGGATTTAGGGTTTGGGTTTGGGGTTTAGGGTTTAGGGTTTAGGGTTTAGGGTTTAGGGTTTAGGGTTTCGGGTTTGGGGTTTGGGGTTTGGGGTTTAGGGTTTGGGGTTTCGGGTTTGGGGTTTAGGGTTTAGGGTTTTGGGTTTAGGGCGGCGTAGAGGCGGAGGGCTTGGGAGATTGGGAGATGGGCGGAGGCGTTCAAGGGTGTGGGGTTCCGTGTTGAGGTTCCAAAAACTTACCGACAAAAAATATGCATCCTACATGAGGTCCGAACTAATTATCACTTGTGAAGTATTTGGTTTCGGGTACCCAGACCTCTGATTGAAATCTTTTGAAAGGACTACAGTTGGAGGTACAGCTAGGGTTCCGGCGAACTGAAACAGCTGCTTCAATCTGTAGCCATGGCCCAGTGACCTGATAAGCACCCGGGACCTGCAAGAACGGGCCCAAAAATGGGTGATCGGGGTTTAGGGTTTAGGGTTTAGGGCTTAGGGCTTAGGGTTTAGGGTTTAGGGTTTAGGGTTTAGGGTGTAGGGTGTAGGGTGTAGGGTTTAGGGTTTAGGGTTTAGGGTTTGGGGTTTAGGGTTTAGGGTTCCCAGATCCCGACCTGCCGCCGGGGATCCGTTCTCGAGCTGCACGAGCCATCGGCCCTTCTCTTCGTCAAAGCCTTTGCAGACCTGAGCCGCACTTCTTGGAGGTAGGGTTTAGGGGGGTTTAGGGTTTAGGGTTTAGGGTTTAGGGTTTAGGGTTTAGGGTTTAGGGTTTAGGGTTTAGGGTTTAGGGTTTAGGGTGTAGGGTTTAGGGTGTAGGGTTTAGGGTTTAGGGCGTGCCAGACGGGAGCGCGCTTTGGGAGCGCGCGGTAGTCTGCAGACCTACCCACCCCAAGACCGCCCACTTACAACTCTCAAGGAGTTAAGACCTTTTATTTTTTTACAAAGCATCACATGAGTCAGCACTCACATCCTTTTTGGGGATTTCCACAAGGTGCGTGGACCAGGCGCAAAGCTGCAGCAGACGGAAACGAGGCAGGGTCCGTGAAGACAGCTTGGGTTGGCGCGAAGGGGCTAAGGGATGGGCCAGGAACAGAGAAAGGCAGCGAGGCCTGGTTGGCGCGAAGGGGCTCCAGCCAGGAAGAACACACAGTGAACAGCTTGGGTTAACCAAAAAAACCAGTAAAACAGGGCTTGGCTTGGCACGAACGGGGTAAGGTGGGGTGCCGAACCAGGGTCAGGAAGCAAACGGAAGCGAGGCAGGACAGATTGGGTTGGCGCGAAGGGGCAAAGCCAGAGGGAGAGCCCCGAAACAGGACACAAACTGGCGCGCGGACAGCTTGGCTTGGCGCAAGGGGGTAAGATGACTCGCGTCAGGGTCAGGATCAGGGCCAGGGCCAGGGCCAGGCCAGGGCAGGGCAGGGCCAGGGCAAGGGCCAGCACCAGGGCCAGGGCCAGGGCCAGGGCCAGGGCAGGGCCAGTCAGGGTCAGGGCCAAGGTGAGGGCCAGGGCCAGGGCCAGGGCCAGGGCCAGGGGGTCAGGGTTGGCGCCAGAGCCAGGGTCAGGCAGGGCCAGAACAGGGCCAGGGCCAGGGCCAGGGCCAGGGCCAGGGCCAGGGCCAGGGCCAGGGCCAGGGCCAGGGCCAGGGCCAGGGCCAGGGTCAGGGTTAGGGGAATATAATATAATACAGTGACAACTGCTGTCTCGCCTGTGCCTGCCTGGAGGGTAAGCCTGCCTGGAGGCCAGCTCGGTCGCCCGCCTGGGGCTCCCTCGCAGGGTCTAACTGAGCGCTCGACCAGCGCCCGCCTACCCCAAAAGACAAGAGAGTGGGGTGGCGGGCGGGTTTAGGGTGCAGGGTTTAGGGTTTACGGTTTAGGGTTTCAGGTTTAGAGTTCAGGGCTTCAAGTGCCCAGACAGTTGCATACCCCTGTGAGGAACATACGTCTTTTCATAACTAGGACCCTCTATGTTGAGCTCCAAACCTTCAAGACAAAGCTGAATTTCTCAAAGACCGTTAAAGGAAGTCCGATAGGCAGCCCCCTCTCCCCCCCCCGCCCCTCACAAGAAAAAGAAATGAATAAAATCAACCTTTAACTGGGGTATGGCCCCAGAACGCTTGAAGTCTGGTGAGCTAGGATGCTCCCTGATAATCCCTTACACCCTTAAAACCCTTACACCCTCGAACCCTACCCTTACACCCTTCAAACCCTTAAAACCCTTCAAGCCCTTAAACCCTTCTAACCCTTTAGGAACCCTGAAACAGCGGAATGCTTGCACCTTGCTTACAAACCTCGAGCCCTAAACCCTAAACCCTAAACCCTAAACCCTAAACCCTAAACCCTAAACCCTAAACTGGGCTGTGCGACCGCAAGATGCCCATTCAGATGGGCCGCGGCCTCCACAAAGGTGAGCACAGGTGAGTCGGGTCTACGGGATTTGGGGTTTAGGGCTTGGGTTTAGGGTTTAGGGTTTAGGGTTCAGGGTTTAGGGTCTAGGGTTTAGGGTTTGGGGTTTGGGGTTTAGGCCTTTTTGTTTTTTAGCCGTTTTGGGGTCGAACCGTCTAGGGTATGTCGCCCCGAACTTAGAGTTAAATTACCTGAGCCACCAACGTGCCGACCTTACTTACTGTCTACTCGTCATTTCCGGGCAGTAGCCAACCCTCAACCCTGAATCCTAAACCCTGGCTACCAACCCCAAGCGCCAAATCTCGAGTCTGGAACCCTAAACCCTAAACCCTAAAACCCATGTGCCCTGAACCTGAAGGTGACCCCCGCGCACACTCAACCCCACACAGCCGAGGCCTAAACCCCCTTCACTAAACTTCACTAAACCCTAAACCCTAAACCCGAAAACCCTAAACTTCTGAACCCCCACCAGCAGCCCGAACGCTCGACGAATCCCCCAAATGGTCGGTGAACCTCCTCGAACTATTTGAGCAAACGCGAAACATAGGGGGTTTACCTCCCCGAGGATCCCCTCAAATAACGGCCCCGATTTACAGGCCTTTGGCTTAACATTGCTATAAAGCCTATCACTTTGCTGGCATCACCATGAGATGATGCTGCGTCGTAGTTACCGCAGTCCCATGAGACGGCAGGATTTTCATTGACTTGTACTCCAGGCCTAGTGCCCAGGTTTCTGTGAGCCGGCTGGATGTTCATTCATGTGTCGAAAAAGCTTCAGCCTGAGCCCTATTCCCTGCAAGCCCAAACTCCATCCCACGCAGGAAGCCTCTAAAAGCCCCAAAGAGTAGCAACAAAACCCAGAAAGGCCGAAAACAACCAAAACCACCTAACCTTAGCCTCAAACAAGACCCAGAAAACCCGAAACGCCTTCCAACAACCCTAGCCCTAAACCCTAAACCCCTAAACCCTAAACCCCTAAACCCTAAACCCCTAAGCCCTAAACCCCAATCCCTCACCCCGAAACTCTCTAGAAACCCTGAGAAAGCTTTGGCCTGCAGCCCACGGAGCCTCACTCCCGACATGCCCGCCATGGCGCCGAGCAGATGCGGATTTTTGGGTGTCGGGTTTAAGGTCTAGGGTTTAGGGTTTAGGGTTTAGGGTTTAGGGTTTAGGGTTTAGGGTTTAGGGTTCAGGGTTTAGGGTTTAGGGTTTAGGGTTAAGTTTAGGGTGTAGGAATTAGGGTTTAGGGTTAATCTCACACGGCGCTTCTCTGTTTAAATAAGGAAGCTTAGGGCCCTACTGCTCCTTGTAGCTCCGGTTTAGGGTTTAGGGCTTAGGGCTCAGGGCTTACGGCGTAGGGCTTAGGGCTTCAGGGCTTCAGGGCGCAGGTTTAGGGTTCAGGGTTTACGGTTTGGGGTTTAGGGTTTCGGGTCTAGGGTTTAGGGTTTAGGACCCTTCGGTTCCATGTACCTATACAGTATATACCTGAGATCTAAAAGCTGCTAGATTGGAACTCATCTAAAGCCCAAGTTTAAACGACATGTACCGTTAGGGGAGGGTTTTGTGGGCTTGGGGTGTGTTACTTAGGGCTCGGGGCTTGTCGTGTTCTTTGTTGGGATGCTTATAGGGGTTTTAGGGTTTGGGGCGTGTTTCAGAATTTCATGGGAAAGGGGTTTAGGGGTTTTCCGGATTTGGGCTGGTAGGGCTGGAAGGCATCATTGGCCTACAGCAAAGGCCCTACCCAAGAAGATTCAACGAAAGAAGTCCTGAGGTTTTCAACGACACACATTCACTCCCCGGTGGCCTTCCTGAACCTGCGCCTTTTCACGAAGCATCAAGCTTCAGTAAGCGTCAGCTGTTTTCAACATGCCGCTGCCCCCAGCATGCATCCAGTGCAAGCAAACTACGACATACGTGTTTTGAGTAGCGAGGCGACGCGCTGTTGCCTCCTTCCACTGCTCCAAGCCACTTTTGATTACGCCGCCCGGCGCAGCGGGCTCACAGCTGACCAAGAGATGCGAATGAACTCGAGCTTTCAACACGTCCCCTTGCTGGACAGCCATCCGCGGAAGGTGGCAGCTGAGTAAAAACATCATGCTTATGAGCGGCCAACCGGGCTGCATGGAAATGAGGAGGAACATGGCGGACTGCTGGCGCCGGACACGAGCGACGTGTCAGTTTCAGCCAGTGTGTCCATTCCGCCACAGCAGCATGCAGAGGCGCGCCAGCCATGTGCCAACACAGACACCCTCGCAAGTGCAAGGTGATGTCTCAAATGGGCGTCGACAAGCCTAGCGCCAAGGCCCGCTCTCTGGCGCAAGCACCTCCCTCATCGCTGACAATCCACACGCTGCCGTTTCCGTAGCAGGCTTGATCTAAACGTGGTGTGGCCTGGAAGCAGCGAGATCTTTACTGCAGTCATCTACTTCACGACAGCAGGGACCTGGCTTGCTACTGCTGCTGATCTAACACCACATGCAGCAAAAAGGACCACACCGAAGATTTGCATGACATGTGAAACTGAGAGACCGTGCAAAAGGATGGGCAGAGTTAGACTTAGATGGCGCCTGCCCAGCACTGATGCTCCGATTTCCTTCACAAATCACATCGCCCGGCCTTTCAAGTTGCCCGTCGCGACAAAAAGCCGTAGCAATCTTGCCTAGCAGTGATGCCGTCACGTGGAAGGCAAATGGCCGATCACGAAGCCGAGGGCTGGGCCTGCTGGTGTTCTGACGCAGGACTTTCGATTCGGTGTAGGGTTTAGGGTTTAGGGTTTAGGGTTTAGGGTTTAGGGTTTAGGGTTTAGGGTTTAGGGTTTAAGGTTTAGGGTTTAGGGTTTAGGGTTTAGGGTTTGCTACGCGGGACAGTGTCAAAACGCTGTTAGGCTTTGGCTGACACACCAAGAAGAGTGCAGTGGCGCCAGCACGCCGACCTTCACTGAAGCCGGCTCAGGCGGCAATCAGGCTGGGCCTCAGTCTCACATGCAGAAGCCCGGCACTCGTCTTGCGCACTGAAGCCAGATCCCTTGACCCCCCTCACGGACACAGAAAACCTGAAAGTCGCGTGAAAGTCGCGTCAAACAAAAGCAAAAAAACCAACCTGGAAGCGCAAAACAAGCGCAAAACAGGCCCCACTGCTGCTGCTTCTGCTTCGAGCTACTTCTGCTTCGAGCAAAGATTGCGACATTATTGAGTCATTGTTGGCTCACGTTTTGTCATTCTTGAGTCATTCTTGAATTAAACAAAATTCTTTTTGTGCCATTTTGAACAACGTGTCCAAATTTAGAGTTTACATTTTTTGCTCTGCATCAAACGATGTTGTTGTGCATTGTAGTGACGTTGCAGTGACGTTGAAGTGACGTTGTAGTGACGTTGTAGTGATTTTGCAGTGACGTTGCAGTGACGTTGCACCGTACTGCTGTTGCTGCTGAGCTTCTCGGGTAGATGCCAGTTTCTGCGACACTGGCGGCACTTACGTGTTCGTGGTCTCCTGGACAAACGAAGCGGGAGAGAGACCACACCAAACTCGCACTAGAGCTCACAAACCACCAATGCTTGAAGATTCTCTTCCCTTTCTCTTCGAAGCAACAGCTATCCACAAGACACTCGTGAGAAAGACCCAAACTCTTAGCAGTTGTCTCGAAAACCGTTTCTCCCCACAAACCTGACCCTTTAGGCCATTCGTGAGATCATGTCCTGCAAAGTCCTTAAAGACCGCACCAATGTGACGCCAAGACTGTTTGTGGACCTTCACTTAGAACACGCACTCGAAGGCACAGTGGGAGAGGTCTCCTCTTCCCAGCAAGGAGGCGACTCTTGGGAGAGGCACCCTCATCCTCCTCTTACCGGAATGTCAAAAATACCACACGCATCTTGCTCCGTCATGAAATCACTGCCCAGAAACCAGGCAGTACTGATTTCTTCTTGCCCCGGTACCACGACCCAGCAACGCACAGCTTGAGGTGTCAGGGAAAGGTTTGACGCACCGAGGTCTTTGAGGTGAACTCCATGCCATTCAAGCCACATGAGAGCCACCAAAGTGCAAACCAGCCATTGCCAAGCTCCAGAAGAGTTTACCCCTTGCATCTCTAGCCAGGGCACTGCAAGCTCGACCTTCTCCTGGATCTCACCTTACCTTGCAGGACTGTTTCTTCCCCGCAGGGCAAGACTTGCCAGTGCAAACTTTTCTCACCAGGCGCGCGGGGGCGTGAGCAGAGCTCAGTCAACATGTCAGATTAATCAAACACGCAAGCCGGAGGTGAGACGGACGTGGTACCGGTTCCGGTCCGAAGTCCTTGCCCGTAGGCTAGACCTACTCTACCTACGGCTCCTCCACTGACTGCTACACCCTACCATAGGCAGGGGCTGGCCAGTGGGTTCTCAGGGGCTATCGAGGCAGCTCACCCTGATGTAAAAACCGGGACACCCATGCCCAGGGGCAGGGACTGTGAAGAGTGTGAGGTTTTCCAGACGTACCCACGCCTACTTACTGGCAGGGAAATGACCCCGTCCTAAGTGGCGGTACTCTCCAGCCTTGCAGGGCTTTTGGTTCCCCCAAGCACCCTTGTAGCTGCGTAGCCGTCCAGGATTTTTGGTTTACCCTCAACCTTTGCGCTGGGGCTTTGAACGCCCCTAGCCTTCGGACTGAACTGCACAGCATCAAGGGTTGGTTGACCCTCAACCCTGCACTCCGCCGACGCTATCACCCTCCATGGCTCATGGCTTAAGCTCGGGTTCAGCTGAGAACCGGTACTATAGACCCAAGCCCGCCAGCCCGGGATAGGGGCAAACTCGACAGATGAACTTGCAGGCTAATTAAAGCACCTTGAAGGCGAGACGCGTCAGCCACAGCTGCTCCTCTCCACCTTGGCGCCCACCTTAACCTAGCAGCCACTGCGGCTAGCTAGGGAGGCTTTTCTGTTCTTCACTGGTCCACCAGTGCCCTAAGGCACGGCTCACCCCGAACATGAGTCCCGGCACCTGACTACGGCTGCAGATTGGCTCACCTACCCTCTATACAAGCTAAGCGACGGGTGGCCCCGGAAGTCTCGCTCTTACTAACCGGGACCAAACATCCATGCCGGAGCCAGCGCTGGACATTCCTTACCCGGCCGCTTGACGGGGCAGACGTGGCCATGAAATTGGACAGCGGCAGAAAATCCACAGGCGTTCTCGCTCTTACTAACCTGCCATCTTACCGCCTACACCACCAGCAAGGTGGCACTATACAAGAGGGGAGCAGAGAGAGCTCTACTAGTCCTTACCTCTCAAAATTTTTGGCCCTAGCGTGCTGGAAAGCTCCACAAACAGCACGCTGGGACAGCAAAACTACTAATCCAACCCTGGCCTTTAGGCCGGGTGGACGATTCCTACTTGAGCAAGACTTCCCAATCATTGAAGAGCCACCAGCTTGAGTGGCCTGACCCTGGCCCTTCGGCCGGGAAGGCATAGTCGACCCAGCCGCACTTGTCTCTGCTGCGGCTGGGCAGTCGATTCACCCTCAGCTGTTGCATACAGCAGTACGGGGCTGAATACACTGCGACGACTTGCACCCAGCCATTATTCGTAGTCCGTCAAGAAATGATATCACCCCACCCAAAGGCGGGGGTCCCCAGGGCGCTCCGTGAGAGTCATCTTAAACCCTTACTAGGGCCGGAAGGGCAACAACTCTCTTAGGCACCCACTCTGCACCAACCCTTGCCAGCTCACAGCCAGACCCTATAGGGGTCCCCGGCGGTAGCACAGCTTTTCCGGGCTAGTTCATCCTAGACAGGACTCGAAACCTGAAGCGCCAGCCCGAACCTTCAATCAGCCAAAAACCAGGGCAATCCAGCAAAACAAAGCATGACCCACGCTGTGCCATTCGCGGGACACCTCAAGCCGTAGTGTGCCCACTCACACAACCAAGCGCGCCAAGCCCACATACCTCAAGCTTTGGCCCTGGCGGGTTCGGTCTCTCTGCAACATCGGCTGTTGAGCCTCCCTCTCTTCACCCGTTGTATGGCCAAAGGCAGTGCTGCAGCGGGAGGTATGGAACTGGGGTTGGAACTCAGATTCCTTCTGCTCCCTTTCTACAGAACCGGTCCTCACGACTACTACACCCTACCTACAGGCAGGGACTAACCAGGTAGCCCCCTGCAGCATGTGGGTGTTCACAAGAGCAATTCCGACGGCAACTCCGTAGAGCCAGTTCACGCACGTAACTATTCCCCACCTCAGCCCAAAGGCAAGCGGCAAGGGAGTAGAACAGCTACCAAGCTCTTAATTCCGCGCCAAGAGGACAACTCCACTTGACCATTCCGCTCACGCAATTCCTACCCCACGGATCTTTGGCAGCGCAAACCCCTCGACTACTGTGGCCCTTCACCAACAGGAGTGGCCTCAACCAACTCCCAGCTAGCGTCTTCGTCGATGGTAGCCAGAGCACGCCGCCCATTACAAAGAAGCAGAATGCGAATGAGACCAACATAGCGGATTCTGCGGCCGGTCTGATCTTCCATCCATCTGCCATCAATGGGGCAAACAGTGAAGGTGATGTACCGTACCGTCGCTTCTGCACAGCACCTGAATGCATGTAGGTACAAGACCGGACGGCCTGTGTCAACCCGAAGTTGCCATGTCCCGTAGTTGCCCCACGCCCAGTTTCTGGAGCGCGTCACTCTGAGGAAATGGACTCGGTGTTCAGGACACTTGACTCATGTGGTGAGCACTATGGTAGATGGATGTCCCAAGCACTTTCGGGCGAAGTCAATCAAGCGCATAATCCCTTTGAAGATTGGGTTGGAGCATTGTCAACATGTGCTCAAGGAGCATGATCCTTCGGATACATTGGCTCCTCCCATTCTGAAGGAGAAAGAGGATGGTGTGCCTGATCAGATTGACGGTGAACCGGACAAGGCCTTTGAGGGCAGTGTGTCTGATGGTCCGACCACGGACATGAGCAAAGTGGGACCACCCGCAGCATGGGTGAAAGAGCATGGAGGAACGGTGAATTGTCCAGCGTGTGGACCGAAAAGAGGTAAGGCGAATCACAATGCTGAATGCCGAAAGCGGTATGACGACTGGTTGAAGAATCAGCGACAGAGGTTGGAAAGAACAGAGCCGACCACTGAAGTTCTGGATGCGAGTACAAGAAGCTCCAAGGATGCGTGGGTGATAGAAACTGGAAGTGAGCCTTCACTCCTGAAACGTTCTAGAACTTCGCATGTTTTGCCACCAGCATCCTATACATATGATGACATCCGTCCCTTGCATCACTTAGAAATGGCATCACATCTTTTGGCAGTCAGACGCATACCATCAGTAAACCGAACCTATTGAAAAAGCAATAGGTCACCGGAGGTATGCGTACGAACAAACAATCACCCAAACCGAAAGCTGCCAAAAGAAGGTGAGTGCCATTCTCGCCAGTCACATCTACCCAAAGCCAAGAAGTGAGAACGGTACTCACCCGCATGCATCCCATATGTGCAGAAAAGCTCACTGCAACAGTAAAGCACCGACAGCTGTGTAAAAACAGGGAGCATCCCCATGGGGGAAAGAACCGCGCACCATGGTTAGCCACCCCCGCTCCACAACCGCCGGCACTCGACATGGTGATTTACAGGAGGCATCCTCATGGGGGAAACAAAGTACCGCGCACCATGAGCAGCACAACCTGCCACACCTCTGCATGCAAGCGCACAAAAAGTACGATGCTCATTGCGACAATTCGCGCCACTTATTAAGGGGCAGCTCCCAAAGCAAACGGGCCTCAGGTGGGAAAAGGCGGATGTCATGGTTATACGCCCACAAAACAGGCAAAGCACAGGACACTCTGTAAGCTGGAAGCCATTCCTCAGGTAATGCAGACACGCCATCCCATCGGCTGAGGAAGTCAGCCTTGTCATTATGACAGCCAGAGATGTGGGATGTATCAAGCTCCACATGCGAACGCCACGCATGAATAGCCAATTGCTGCACAAAAGCAGCCAACGGCTGAACGGTTGTGAAGAGCTTTGTGCAAACAGCCTCAGTGCCTGTGTTATCAGACCAGCTGGGTATGCGAACCCGACATCTGCCACCGACGCAGGATGTGGCAAATACATGGACAAGAGCTATCTGGGCCAAAGTTTCATAGCAAACAATATCCAGATTTGCAGGGGACTGCATGGAAATACCCCGCTGCGAAAAATCGGACACTTCAAAACGCTCAGCGAACCATAAGCGTGGTTGACCGGGAAACTCAACCCAGCCACCAATGCCAACGTTCTGACCGCTAGCGCAAGCATCTGCGGCCAGCTTCACCGAGGGCTCAAACGGTGTCGCGTTCAACGGGCGCAAAATTTGCGGCTGCTCACACCAATCACGCCAGAAACTCAAAAAAGAGATACTCAACGAAGAGAGCTTGCGACGGTCAGTCGTTGGGTCAGCAACACGCGCCCACAACCGCTTGCCAGTGAATTGAACCTGTGTAAGATCGGCCTTGCACTTCACATCCACGTGACGAACACTAAGTAAGCGTGACCCTACACGAATACTCGTGCCAGGTGGTGTACGCGAAAAAATCATGTCTGAATCCAGACAGGTTGGCAGCTGCTGCCATGCAAATGCGCTGAAGGAAAAATTTGTCGCTAAAGGGCGTTCCATATCGTGGTACAGACTACACAACCACGGCCGCAAAGTAGGCGAAATTTGCACAACCCAATGCAAGAGCCCAATGATACGCCCCAAATCCTTGCGACACAACTTCGTTGCCTTCAGGACGAAATTCACCGCCTCCAGCAGTTTCTGCACCTTAGGAGCAAGTAAGCAAAAAGCCTCTGCGCGAAAATGCAATTCCCAGCCAATAAACTGGACCGTGGCCGCCAATTGAAGCTTTCGCCACGAAAGAGGAAAACCGAAGGTTTGGCAAAAACCAATCACTACCGCCGCCGACACCGGCAGCATCTGAGCGTCTTGATACAACAGGGCATCGTCCACATACATCATTAGGATGTGTGCCACCCAAATTAGGCGGTGAGAGCATCTTACGAAAAAAGCAGCAAGACGCTGCCACCAGTGTGCCGAAAATTTGGCTCCAAACGGAGCCACCCTATAGAAAAACAAACGTTTTCCTAATCTAAACCCCAACAACCCCCGTTTACTCTCCCGAACTCTCATAGTTTTATGCGCGGCGGATATGTCCAAAGTGCAAGCAGCCAGCTTTGCAGAAGAACCGCGAATGGGGACGCCACATTGCACATCATGAAGTCCGGGCAAGCAAAACTTCTCAGGACAGATACCGTGGGATCAATGATGAGCCGTGGGTCGCGTCCCAACGCATGCACAATGTTAGCCTTACCAATCGCAAGTTGAGGCCAGCGATCTTGCGCAGTTTGAAGGTCCGGCACCTCCTCCAAAAAACCGGCTTGTACTTCTTTTTCAAGCAACCTTTCCAACAGGGCAGGGTCATCCTCTGCACCCTCCAATAATTGCCTGTACACAGCAGGAAATCATGCTCATCCAGTGCAGGGGCGGCAGATGATGCAACAGGAACGAAAACGCCACTCGCTGGTATATCGTGCCGAACACCGGTAGGCACCCCTGCAAGCAAGGCGGCCACAAGGCCTCGTCCGGGTCGTGCATGACCTGGGCTAACTTCCGCAACGCATGGAGTGCATATGGTTGGCCCTCAGGGACATCCCATGCCGGAGCCTCATGTCCTTGGGCTTTGAACCACCCATTCCAAATTTCCCGCAAGTCTGAAACCTCGGCCTCAGTGAAAAGCGGAGAAGTAGACGCCTCTTTGGTTTGCGCGCTCAGGCGGTTCGGATTTTTATCTTCCAGCTGAAGCGCTGAAGTTGCGGGCGCAACCCCGAAAACACGTCCTCCACGCCTGGTTGTGGCTCGGCCCAATCTGGAACAGAGTAAATCCCGCCCCCATCTTGCGAGGCTCTAGGGAAAGACCCCAGACGGCGTGTTGGTATGCAAGCAACGGCATCCGGAATGGATAACTGCACACCCTCAGCTGGTGCCGGAAACAAAGGCAAGACCTTCTCCGCATAGACTTCAGCCAGACGGGCCGGATATAAAGCAGTCTGCCGCGAAACATATGTGCCATCCGCATCGCGTTGGCCTAAAACCTTGTGATGAGCGTCTCGCCCATGGGGGCATGCACATGCCAGGGCTTGAAGGGGCCGCCATGACGAAGCAAAGATCCAGTGCTTCAGATATGGCATGCCAAACATACAGGCAGCCACAACATTCACATCCGCAGAAACCTCCTGCAAGTAACGACGAACCACGGGCTCCAACCAACTCATGGCATTCCGTGGTTGCTCAAGTGATGTATGCCCCCCGGACTGGTAAACAGCCATGAGCAATTGGACCGTACGCGACAGTAAAGTAAAACTCGTCAGAACCTTCTCCTGCATGACCGCCGTGTTATCGGGCAACCCGTCCAAGAATTCAGCGGAGGGCCATCCTTGTCCATCAACTTCAAACGGCTATACTCACCGCACGGTGGGGACCCATGGGCCATGGAACATTTCCCAGAAAAGCAAATTCTTAAAACTTTTTCACCAAGGCATCTTGTAAAAGGTCGTGCGACGCATCCAGCAGCACATCGATTGATAGAACAGGCGCCCCATGCTCTTGCAATGCCTGGCTCAAGGGGGAAGCATACCCACTGCAGATGTCCAGAAAAAACCGAGGTGCAGCAGGTGTTGGAACGTGCACCGACTCAGACACGCGTGGGATCTCCACAGTTTGATGCGGAAAATTGAAACCTGCAAGAGCTTCCGGCGAAACCTCCGGCAACGTATAGGCTGTCAAAGCCCAGCGTTCACCTTGCCACGGCATGGTTGCATGCCATAAAGCACCATTGAATGCAAAGGGTGTCTCCTTGGTGCAAACCAACCGACCCGACAATGAAACAAGGCACATCCCCTGTCGGCTCTTCCAGCCACAACTGGCCGTCACGAAAAATCTCCTAAGGCGACATTATAATTTAATGATCCAGGTAAGTTGGCAAGATCCCGGTGCGGCAAAGTTTGGACACACAAGGAGACACATATTGCATTCCACGTGCCTGTAGGCCACCATTGCTTCAAGAAACCGTTAAGCGCCCTAACAACCTCAGGAAAATTACGCGTGACCGAAGTCACTGCACTCCGGTCTCGCACTTGCACGCCAAAATTCCAGTAGCCGGTTTGCTTGGAAGAAGCATCCGCCAGACATGGGCGAGTTGAGCGGCTGCCCCACTCCACCAAACCACTGGAGCGCAACAAGGCCAAGCATTCTGCAAAAGACGATGAACCCGGGCGGGGCTCCATCATGGTCACATCCACAGCACTTGCCTCCGCAGCAACACAGGCCGCGGCGGGCCTTCACAGGGCGCCTCAACAGATTGACTGACAGACACCTTCTCAGGCACGCCACCTTGAGCCTGCAAAACAATAGCGCTGCTGGATACCACACGCTCAGTCTCACCCTGCCCTTGGCTACCTGCAAAGACAGCCAATGCATCGGACTGAAGCTGTTTCGCCTCTACTCCCTCAGACGGAACCTGCAAAACGGAGGTTGGAGCACGCCCTAACGAAAACACCTCACCACTTAAAGTAAGGTCCTTCACAGTTGATGGCTCGGCCTCAAGGTCGCCCACCGACGTTCCCAACCCCTCTTTCCATCAATGAGGAGTCGCCTTGTGATCCTTCGCCGAGTGTTCACCGAGGCACGGCTTGCCCGGCACAGCCATTACACCACACAAATGCTCAAACTTGCAATCTCGGCCCCGCTTGCAACGACCCCACTGATATTCCCGGCACAGGTTCTTACGTTCACCCCCTTTGCCGGAGTACCACTGAGCGAGGCGCAGACCCCCCCGACGTTGACTTGATTGCGTTGACGATCTTCCTGCCCTTTCTTGCCTTTGCCGGCCCCCTTGGACGGACCACGCTCCTGCCCCTTGCCCCCACGAAGAACCTCATTGAAGAATTTCGCAAGAGCAGGCCGTGGCTGCAACAACTGTTGAACCTCTGCCAAAGAGCAGATGGGGCCCGAAGGCCCGACTCGGACGGGAAACGCTCAAAGGCTTTAGACAAAAAACGTCTGTTATACTCCCTTAAAGTGTGCAGATGTGCAGCACCGCACATGGCCAGCGCCACTGCTTGGAGTTCTAAACAGGATTGCATGGTGCGGCGGCCCATGCCTTGCGCACTGACATCCCTGCTCGGCACCTCGTCAAACACGATCTTCTCCAGCTCCAATTTGGCCATTTTCGCTGGCCTCTGCAGCATTTGTTGCTCAAGCATGTCTTCCGACATACGGTATTTCCAGTGTATCCATTTCCAACGCTTGTCCTGAATTTGTTTGGCCATGAGGGCCAGCAAGCGTTGTGAGATCGTTTCGGGACAGATGATCTCTGAGGGATACCTGCTTTCGAAGCGTTGCACAAGGGATTTGACCAACTCAGGGCGTAGTTTCTTAGGGAAAGCCTCGACCCAACTAGCATCCGAAACGGGTGAAATGCCTGGTGCACTGCTGGCGGCCTTGGGCTTCGGGCCCTGCGACAACGCTTGGCATCTTTGCCACAGCAAACGCACACGTGCTGTAAGTAAAGGCTCGGATATATCCCCGGGAAACGTCAGGCCTTGCAGAAAGGCATCTAAACCTTGCAAATCCACGGACACCAACGCGAACTCCTGTGGCGTGAAAGGCAGGAAATCTGGATGCATGGAGACCGGGATATTCACTTCCGCAAGCAACTGCGCCATCGTAGTCGTCCCCGTCGAAACCGGGCCTCCGAGGACGGGCACAGCGGTGGAAAAGCTTCCCCCCCCCCCCCAAGTAGGAGGGTATCAGTTGAAAGTCGGCATCTTCCCCATCAGACAACCCAGCCATGGCAGAGACTACAAGTATGCAAGACTTATAAACATGCAAACCTGCAACCCATCAATACTCTAAGCAAGTACCGCGTTAGCACTGTAGATACGAATGGACATGTGAGAGTTCCTAAAATTAAGGTGACCCAGAACAAACAAGGATACGAGTAAGACCTGGTACAAAGAATTGGGGTTTGTGGTTCGCAAACAAAACACTTATTTGTTTGCTACTTTAGAATTAAAGCTTTTCGTTCCTCATGACAGGCGCTTAGGGGAGCAATCGCAGCAACCTATCTTCGAACTCCGTAAGGAAAAGAAAGCAAGAACTGCATGAAGGAAAAACCATTCTAAGCACATGCGTTCGCTACAAGCAACTCATGGCATGCCACACGCATACACCAGCTCGCTCCACAAAGTGGCCAAACATGGCCCAACACTTGCGCGCTTGCACAAAGAGCACTCGTTTTTTCGGACACCCGGCAAGGAGTCCCATGCGACCTGCGATACTTCACAATTGGAAGCAGACCTGCAACAAAGCTTGGTGGGGGTTTGTCCCCAGTTGGTGGACCTGCAAGCCGTCCCCTTCCCCAACTCGTAGGCGAGTATCACAGGGGGGGGTATGAGGCAAACACATGCGCATGGACCTGCAGTCTGCATAAATCGACAAGGCCTCTACACCGAACGACATGAAGCACAGCTCCTGCGACATGCTGTCCGCATGCAAAACCCTGCCCCTGGTTGGAGCTGCGTCACCAAAATGGGCTCAGCTAGCCACGCACCACATGCCAACTTCAGAGGTACGCCCTGCCACTGTGCAATGGAATCCGCAGACGCACGGACTGCGGTATGCAAAACTCCAGATGGACCTTTGAAGAAACAAAACTCCTCCGCTTCTAAGGGATGTGGCGACTCGGTATTGCGGGCGTCTTCAACCTCCACATCCGAATCAGACTCGTAAAAGACCTGCATATCCCCGGAAAAAGGGTGATGCTCTGCGGTAGACCCGGCCCCCGAATCATTGCCCGGTCACACATAGGCAGTTCCTCAGCTTCTGCAGGCGGCACCAGCCCAGAACCAAGGATGCAAGCTAACAGGCTCCAAGACAACGGCCGGAAAACGCCACCGCTGGTTAGGAAGAGGCTTCTGGGCCCCCCGAGACACTGGCGTCCCTGGAACCCATCCAGAACGGAAAGCAAGTATAAGAGCCTTTTGAACGCGCAGAGCACCATGAGTGTTATCGCGCCCATACAATGACAAACTTTGTCCTTGATGATGCCCTTGATCTAACCGATCCTGTTCAGCAAAACCTCCGTGCTCAGCTGCCTGTGTAATGCGTAAGCAACAGCGGACAAACAGGGTCCACCTGACTCGGAGAACGCGGATGACAGGAAAAACCTGAGGAAACGCAAGGCCTGGTTGAAGGAGAGCGCTATGAGCTCCCCATCTCGCCACGCAAAGAAAAGGGAATCAGGTATGACCTCTTCACCAAAACTCGCACGTAGCTCACCCCATACTTCAGCCAACAAAGAAACATAGATCCTTATCCATGACTTTTCAGGCCCAGGCAAAGCCCCAAGTAAACCCCATCCTCCGACGGCGAATGGAGTGCCGGAACGACACGTCTTTGTGCGGTAGCTCATTCCTCGCAGGAACAAACCATCGACGGTCACACTCGCCCAGCGTACATGTGATGCATCGCTAAAGCGAAGGCTAGCCATGAGGCATACAAGAAAGCTCCCAGCAAGGATCCTATGTTCACGAGGCGCTTGCAAATTCCGCAAGAGTTGCTCTAACCACAACAAGAAGAAGGGTGGAACAGGCACAGCTTCACGCCTGAAAACTTTTGATACTCACGAGCACAGCTGCATCGGCACATGACATGAGACATGACTGTAAAGCTTCTGGGCAAAACAAAACATCCCACCACAAGAAATCTTCACAAGGAAAATACATGGTTAAGGGTCCCATGTAAGACATCGAAATCGTGATCACCCCGCCAAAGGATGATTTGCAGCGTTTCGCAAAGCAGGCTTTCAGAACGATTTTGGTGGGAACTACTGCTATACATGCCCAGAGCAAGACAGCCAACAAGCCTCATATCAGCAAGTGCAGAGCAACACTCGGTTTGTCCTTTGCTGCCGTGGGCGGACATACCGCACTCCAGGGCCGCCACCGATTTGGTGGGCTTTGTACAGGCCTACGGGCACCTCCTAACCTTTGACCTTTGGGCACCTTGTGAGCTCTGAGGCTCCAAGCGAGTCTGCTTGCCAGCTCCGCAAGCTGCAAGAGTATCGGCATCACATGGCTGTGATGGGTAAAGGAGAGGTTGCCGGCCACATGCAAAAGTTGTCAATCTCTTAAAGATTTGAAGGTGATCCAATGCAATTCAAGAAAATTGCACACAAGCTCGGGTACAGTGGTACCAGCCAGTGACTGCATCCACAAGAGGCATCATGAGCATTTCAAGAAATTGCTTCTATCAAATTCGGGCTCATTTAAACACACATGCAACGAAAAGTTGTCGGTCATCGTGATTGGGCTCATTTTCACGTATCATCGTGCGGTTCTGGCTCCGGAAGGTTCTGAGGCACTGGATTTGGGATCTGCTGACCACCCACATGAAGGATGTGGAACATGGCAGCCAAGTGGGCAATGTCCTGGCGACGCCCGAGCTCTCTGGCCCAAAACTGGCATAACTGACACATGCTGTACTGGCCAGGAAACTCAAGCTGCAACTGGCGATATAGCAGCCTGCGAACATATCGCGCCCTCATCAAACCATCGCAATCCCCAATGAGATGAAAGCGGGTCCCACTCACTGGGGCAATCCATACCTCAGCGTTTATATTTTACTATCAGCCATCGCCCAAAGTACAGCAAAGGAAATCTTTCACAACGCACACCCGCATTCGCCAAATCTGAACATCTACAACAGCAAGATGAATGCAGAAGATATCTCACGCGAATCGGATCTACGAACTCCACTGCACAAAGGACCATCGGACGAAACACTCCTTCACTTTTTGGATGTGGCGGTCGAAGCATCAAAGGTGAGCATGCAGCATGAACACATTACCGATCCATGCGAACCAAAAGACATTCCCCCCCAAGGAGGGCTATACAGAGTAGCACCACGGCTTGCCGACGTGCCAGAGTTCTTGGGCGCAAGAGTCAGGCGCTCGAAAAAGTGGGACACCACATTGGAAGTGAAAAATGGCACAAGACATGCCATTATCGAAAGTGTGGGAGATTTCATCTCCATGCGAGCAAAAGCCTCCTGCAACTGGCTCGAATCCCGAGGGAAAACAAAAGAGCACACCACCCCCACAGACAATCCAAGGGCGGGAGGGTGGGATCACAAAAATTGCTCACGCATGCGAAGTATGTCATGTCCAGACATGAGTCTCTCACTTTGGGCCGATGGCTGATACGCAAGCAAAGTGACAGCTCAGTTGAAGTAAAATATAAACATCCTTGAGTAAACACAAGATACGTTTATATTTTACTATCAGCCATCGCCCAAAGTACAGCAAAGGAAATCTTTCACAACGCACACCCGCATTCGCCAAATCTGAACATCTACAACAGCAAGATGAATGCAGAAGATATCTCACGCGAATCGGATCTACGAACTCCACTGCACAAAGGACCATCGGACGAAACACTCCTTCACTTTTTGGATGTGGCGGTCGAAGCATCAAAGGTGAGCATGCAGCATGAACACATTACCGATCCATGCGAACCAAAAGACATTCCCCACTTTAGAACTGCCACATCCTAAAGTGAAGGAGGAACGCCTGGAAAGCCCCAAACATCCAAGTGTGACGACTGAGCTCATGGGGGCTGCCACAGCAGCTTTGTATCTGCGGGAAAAAGACGCACATCATGATGCGACTGCCAAATGCGAGCCACAGGAAATCGATACCTGTACAAGAGCTCAAACCCGTGCTGCAACTCCTCCGGCGGCTGCCATCTACGCAAGAAATCTGCTTCTGTATTGCGAAAGCCGGAGATGTGCTGGATGTCCAAGGTGAGGCCGAGCTTGAATGAAAGACACGCCAGTTGCTGCGCGAAGAAGCAAAGGGGGCTGGAAGTTGTCAGCATGCGATTGCCTGCTGACTCAGCCGCGCTGTTATCGCAGAAGGTGCGGAGCGACAAGCCAGCACGACCACCCGGACAGACCTCCGCAAAGAGGATGAGCAAGGCCATCTGGGCGAGCAATTCCCAGCACCCAATGTTCTTCTGAGCATCCGGGGCGAGAGGCACCCCCAAGCATTGCATATCGGAGAGAGCAAAACGTTCACTGAACCAAATTGCCGAGGAACCCTGGACACGAAGAAAGCCCCCAAGCCCAATGCACTGGCTGGAAGCAAACGCATCGGCTGCAAGTGTTGCGGAGATCGCCCTGCAAGAAGGTTGCAAGCATGTGAGTGATGGAGACTGGAAACACCAGTCCTCCCAGAAGAGCAAGAAGCGACGGCTCGCCGCAGACACATGCCGCTTCCGGTGTTGCGGGTCAGCAATCCGCATGTAGACGCGACGATTTTTCAAAGGGACCTTGCACAGATCTGCCTTGCTGCGAAGTGGGACGTGTCGGGCAGAGATCAAGGTAGCACCGCATGGAATGGCCGTCCCAGGCGGGGTAGAACAGAACCGCAAGTTCTCATCCAGGTGATCCTTGAGCGTCTGCCATTCACTGGAAGAGATGCTGAAGTTTGTCGCTGCCGGACGTTGAAGGTCCCGCCAAAGGTTGCGAAGCCAGGGGCGCAGCTGCACCGATGCCTGAGTTATCCACATCAACAGACCCACGGTCTGCTCTAGGGCCTGTTTCTCGACAGGACCTTTTCTGAGAAGAACCCGAATCTGTTGCAGCAGCTTGGCCCGCTTATCTTCTGGAACCCAGAACGTTCCGGCGCGAAAGTTAAAACACCAGCCCAACCACTTCAGCTCATGACTGAGTTGCACCTTGGCCCAGGAAAGAGGAATCCCGAAGGATTGGCAGAAAGAGAGAGGCAAGCTGCCGAACACTGCCACCACAGCATCATCCTGGACCAGTAAAAGATCGACCACATAAATGCTGAGCATATGTGCGACCCATAATAGAAGATGGAAAACCCTGATCATGAAGGATGAAAGCCGCGCCCACCAAAGAGCTGAGAAATTCGTACCAAAGGGGCACACGCGATACCAGTAATGGCGGCCATCCTCCAGCTTAATGCCGCACAGACCACGCTCCGATTTCTTGATACGGATTTTTTTTTTTTGTGCGCGGCCCGGATATCCAAACTGAAACCTGCGTGCTGAGAGTGGCACCCGCGAAGAGGAAAGCAAGAGCGAACATCCTGCAGGCCAGGGAGGTTGTACTTCTCGTTCATGAAACAGCTCGGGTTGGTCCCACTGATAGTCCCATCCATGATCAAGCGGGGCTTCTTGTTTTCAGCAAGGACCACGTTCAGCTTGGCAACCGCGATTTTATCCCAACGTTGCTTTGCCTCGGAGAGAGGAACCTCTTCCAGCCAGCCTTCATCGACTTCTTTCTGCACCAACTCGTGCAGGATAGCAGGGTTCTCCCGTGCGCCCTGCCAATTGCTCTCGCAAATCTGCAGTTGATCATCGGAGGCCAGGCTGCCCACGTCTTCCACCGGGATGAAGACGTTGCTCCTCGGGATGTCATTGAAGAAACCAGTGGGGATGCCCTCCAACAGGCAAGGAAACAGCATGTCATCTCGATCGCCCATGGCTCGGGACAAAGCGGAGAGGGCATGAAGACAATATGGCTGAGAAGGTGGAATTGTCCAATCGGGGGCAGGCCAGCCCTTGCGAGTGAACCAGGAGGACCACATGGCGCGAAGAGCCAGCACTTCGTCCGCGGAAAACAGAGCATCCTCGCATTGACTTTGAACATGCTCCTGAAGGCGAAGAGGTGCCTTGTGAGACAACAGGTAATGCACAAGTTCTTGGCGCAAGCCGTCAAAGACATCCACAGCATCGCTAGGGGGCTTAGACCAATCAGGGCAGGAAAAGATGCCGCCGCCATCTTGCGTGCCAAAAGGAGGAGAGTGCATGCCCTTCTTGGGTACAAGGAAGGGGAGCTGGGCCAAGGACAAATCAACTGGATCTGCACACGTCTCGAACAAGGGCAGCGCAGCAGCCACATACGCCTCCGCCAGTGCAGGAGGGAACTCAGAAGTAGCAGCTGAGGCCCAGGTGCCATCCGAGTTGCGAGCACCAACCACCTGTTGGTGGCTGTCGGGAGCGTGATTGCAAGCACGCGCCAAGCCCTGCATAGCCCGCCAAGTGCAAGCAAAGAGCCAACGTGTGTACCAATCTGCCCCAAACCGACAAGCCGCAATGCAGTTGAGATCGGCGGAGACGTGCTTAAGAAAAGCCTGGGTCTCTTTCTCGAGCCAGGCAAGGCTGTTGGCAGGGTGTGCGAAGCTAATGTGGCCACCACCGCACCACACAGCGCGGAGGATGTGCAAGGAGCGAAAAAGGAGCAAGCGGCTTTGCTCGAAACGGCGCTTCTCCTCAGCATTCAAGTCTGGGAAACCTTCCATATGGGCCGGTGAACGCAGAGGGCGGGGGCCTGCATTATCCAGCAACTTGAGACGGCTGTACTCAGTGCATGGTGGAGATGCATGCGCAAGTGTCACTTGACCGGAGAACCCCAGCCGCAACAAAGCATCGTAAGTGCTATCCTGGAGGATGTCCTGCTCACATGAGCGAAGGATATCGATTGATATGACAGAGACACCAGCCCTGAGAGCCGCAGAGGAAAGTGGCCGATTCCTGCCTGAACACAACTCGAGGAAAAGATTCCGTCGCAGGGCAGGAAAGTGCGGAGGCAGGACCTGGTCGGGAAGCGTTGGTGATGGGCACGTGACCTGTGCATTCGGAGCAGGAGTTGCAACGACACTGCCTTGAGCAGACGGCGGTGGAGGTGTGCTCGACACGCGAGGCAAGGGAAAACCAAGAGCCGCCAGCAAGGAGACGTCATCAGCGGGCAGAGCATCCGGATTGGGCGCCGTATAAGCGATGACGACCCAGCGATCGCCAACCCATGGTTCGCTGCAGTGGCGCAAGCGGCCATTGAAAGAGAATCCTGCCCGCCGAGTGCACACAATGGCCCCACGTAAGGACTGATCTGCCTCCTTGTCTGGAGGCGGCACCAAGGTGTAGCCTGGAAAAGCCGAAGCGTCGCCTTCCAACCACAAGCCTCCGCCCGAGAAGGCCCACAGGCTGAAGGTGTAATTCTGAGAGTCGGGGCTGTTGAAATCCTGGTGGATGTGCGCAAACTCATTGTGAGAAACACAGATGCTCGTCCAAGTGCCTTCAGGAAAAAGGTGCGCGAGAAATGCGTTCACATACCGCACAAGATCTTGCTGCTCCAGAGTGGCCGAGCACATGCCACCTTGACCCCCCACGCGTGCCCCTAAGTTAAAATACTGAGCAGCAGGTCGACCCCCAGTCAGCACGTGTGAACGGCGAAGAAAAACTGCGCCAGAAAACGAGTCCTGCAAAAGATACAAGCAAGTCTCCCAAGAGAAATCGCCATTCTGAAGAGCTTCTGCGGGCGAGACACCATCATCCTCTCTTGTTTTACGGACATCTGAATTGCCGGCCCCCAGTGAAGAAGATAGTCAGTTTGAAGCACGTGACTTGTGCTCGTACGCCGGATGCTTACCCAAACATGGACGGCCATCCGCGCCTGGGACCGGACACAAATGCTCAAAGCGACAATTCGCAAACTTGCATCCGTCACGAGAACTGTAGCCACGACAGAGATTCTTGCGTGCCCCAGACTTGTCCTGGTAAGAGAGAACCCAGCGCTGACCTTTGCCACCCTTGCCAGATGAAGACTCCTGAGGGGGACGGCCCTTCTTGCCATCACCCTTCCTGCCCTCTGGCCGAAACTTAGAGACAGCTGCACGTGGCTGGAGCATGGCTGACATATCACCGCGGATTTCAACCACCTCAGTCAAGGCATCATTCAACGTCCACTTGTGCACGTTGACCAAGTCAGCCATGATACCCCAGAGATGTCGGTCGGCAGCCTGTAACTCCTCGATGTGAGGTTGTCTGAGGCCAGTCGAACCTTCCAAGCGTGAGCATGCCAACTTGATGAACTTGCGCTCATAGAGGCGAAGATTGTGGAGATGTGCCCCTTGCACCAAGGATGCCGACACCGACATGAGGCCGAGCACCCCTTGAAGAAATGATGCGCCAACTTGGCCTTGCGGAAGTTCTCGTGCTGGAATCTCATCGTAGATGAAGTCCTCGAACTTCGGGACCTTGGAGGGCCGGCGAAGGTTGAAAGCTTCCTCTTGAGCCTTGCTCATCCGAAACTTCCAGGGTATCCACTTAAGCTCACCCGGCTGCATCACCTTCGAAGTAAGAGCCAACATGCGACTGCCTGGGGTGTTCTCGTGGTCCAACACTTCTCCCGGATAGGACGCTCCAAAGGCGGAACGCAGCTGGATGACCTGCTCACCTGACAACTTTGGCGGGAACTGCTCGACCCACCCAGATGTCGAAGCCGAGGAAGGAGCTTTGGGCTCAGTGCCTTGCGAAGCGGCTGCCTGGTTAGTGCATTTCTGAAAGAGAAGCCGAAATGAAGCCTGAACCAGCAAGATCCCAGCGGCGGATTCCGGGGCAGAAACCTTCTCGAGGAGAGTGTCAAGTGCTGGCGCGAAGGCTGTGGCTGAGGCGGCCAAACAGCCGAAAAGAGGAACATGGAAGCCTGAGAGGCACTGATGGTATGCCTCGGGCACCTTGCATTGAATTGCCAGAGCCAGCAATTCTTCGTCCAGATCCGGAAACATCGCCGAAGCCATGATTCCCGGCCAAGCAAAGAAAAGACACACAAATGAACTCATCTGTGCGCAAACGCGAAATGCCACACACGTGCGAAAGGGGACCAACCCCACAGGAGAGCACACGCTCGAGAGCAGCAAGGAGAATCTCGCTGGTATCACTTTGCATTCCAGATGCAAACACCTGAACCTCACGCCCGTGAGACTAAGTTTGTTTTTACAACCCACGTACTATCACGTGAGAAACCGAGCGTGTATTCAAGGGGATGGTCATTTTGTCGCCTCACAGAAATGGCCAGACAAACACCTTATGTACCATGTGCAGCAAGAGACTGAAGGCAAAGACTTTACATGCCAGGCCCGAGATGATCCCGAAACCTGAAGCCTGGAGAAACCTGAGAAGAACGCTGCAACAGAAGCCACCGTGCAAACCTTGCAGAGTTTGGCACACACGTGCGAATCTGACAGGCCGTGGCCAAGAAGCCACTGCACACACGTGCGGGGCCGAAGCACCAACTGGTGCGATGTCACTGGGGGGGCGGAACCAAGCCGAGAGACCTGTCCTTGAAGCACGTTGCGAAGCACGGAGCCCCACCAGAACTGTCGATTCGAGCCGCACCACTGCGGGCCAGAAGTTGCTCAGTTGTGGCCTAGCATGCGAACAAACTGAGACTGCACAAAAGGAGCCCTCTCGCCCCCCCCTTTTTTGACTGCAGGAGCCACGAATCACTCGGGCAGAAGTTTCCTGCATGCAGCATGCATGCACAGACGGGCATCCGGAGGCGGTTCCTTAGCCTGAACCGAGTAGGAGCGAGCCAAAGCGCCGCACTTAGGACGCAAAAGAACAGCTTTGCCTGCACGCACGAAGCTGGAACCATCCGGGCCACTGTGGGGAAAGCCCACATGCCACACGCCCTTGGGGGATACGAGGAAGACATGTTCCTCACACTCGTCAGCATCTGCGGAGGATGCCTGGCGTGCACTGCCTTGTGGAAACGCATCAGCAGCGTGGGCAAGCGTCTCGGACGATGAAGAGGAGTCTGAAGAGACATCAGCTGCAATGGGTGAAGAAGGCCCAGCACGTTCGTGTGATGCAGACGGACAAGGCTCGGGTGTGCAATGGCACGCTGCGGAACCGGATGACGACCGCCGCGGGCCAGAGGGGTGGACGGCCACCACCCCTGAGAGATGCTGCGCATTAAGGACTTTTGGGCTGCCAAAGCTGGCCACACATCGTCGCGACTGTAAAGCTTGGCACTGTGAGAGGAGGATTTATGATGCCCCTGAGCCTCCCGGCGGGAGACTCGGAAACCACGTTGCGCCATGACGGAAAGAAGGCAAACCTTCATCGAGTGAACTGTAAAGGTGCCGGCCTCCTCGGTACGCAAACCAATGGAAATCAAAAGACCACGCAATTGGTTGAGGACCTCGCCATACGTGAGAGGCTGAAACTCGCCTGCCGCAGACGAAAAGAAGAGACAATCTGGAGTGACAGAGCCAAAACTCGCCTCTAAGGCGTCCCACTCCTCACCCAGGAGGCGAAGGTAGCGTGCGACCCAAGTGCACGCAAAACTCCGGCCGGCACTATAAAAACCCTCGTTAAGGAAACCAAAAGGGACCCCCCGCCTGCTGACTTTGGTGCGATAAGATGTGCCTCGTGTGCACCAAGAACCTGCCTGGATGGAGCTCCATGAAACGTGCTGAGAATCGCTGAGGCGAAGGCTGCTCCAACAAGAAGTCAAAACTGCCCCAATGAAAAGGAGGCGAGCAGGAGAGCCCATATCCAGCAGCAATTGCCTTTCTAAGGCAGCCAAGACAAAAAGGGGCAGAGGGAATGCCTCCTTCCTATCACTCTCAACCCTGTAGGACACGGAGTGCATGAGCCCCTGGTACAAATCCGGGAGGGACAAAAGCAACGTCTTCTGGGCCCAACGCAAGGACTTGAGGCCAGTAAGCACATGAGTGCCCATGTTGTGCATTGCTAAGAGTGCATCTGCAATGTCCACTTGACGAAGAGAGGAGTCCAAGGCTCGATCAAGGGTGTGTAGCGCATGCAAAAAGCCCTTGAAACCTTGAAGATAGCGGAGTAAAGTGGTCTCAGACACCCCGCTCAGCAACCTTTCCTCCAAACTCTCTGGGTGGGAAGAACCTGAAAGCTCCTGCAAAACCCCAGACAGCGGAAGCAAAACAGACCGCATGTTCTGCCAAAGTTGCAAGGCCTTCGCACGTGTCTCAGAGTGAACGTCCTTCTGGGTGACGAAACCTGAAGGACCCTGCGATTGCTTCCGCAGCGGCATCTCCTGAAAGCGATAGGCAGTGGCAGTGCTTTGCGATGCAGTGGGAGTTGCAGAAGGTGGACCTGCAGTGGACCCGCAATGCGCACGGACCGGATTTGGCTGAGATGCTGCCGAAGGGATGGGTTTGCTATACTCTGAAGCCCGACGCGGAACTGGCCGAAACAGGGGGGATGATGGCAGAACCCTCGCAGCGAACCGAGGCTGAGGTCCAGGCCGAGGGGCAGGACATGGCTGAAGCATCACGCACACAGGTCTACGTGAACTATCACTTAACCGGAACGGACCGCGTGGGGCGGGTTCGGGCTTGGCACTAGGTCTCAAGAAGGCAGGCTGTGGAGGAGGCTCAGGAGGGGAATCTGCAATGGGCAAAGGATTCTTGCGATAACGCTTCACCACAAAACCACAAGGGACAGGCGAAGGCGGGGAGTGCGACCTCTGAGCTTCCCTCGAACCGAACCCAGAAACATTCTCTGGAGACTGGCACAAACTCCAGGAGGGGAAATCTGAAGCTTAGGACAGCAGTGGATCTTCACCTGACGGAGAAGAGGCGCCCGTGCATGCGGCAGGGCTGGTTTGCGACATGTCAATCAAGTACCTGCAAGAAATGATGTGACCGCAATGAATGCAGCAAAAGATGCAACAGCAGACCTTGCAAAAGTTGCACACGTTGTGTCAAAGCGGCAAAATGCTCAGAGAAAACCAGGCTTTCTTCTTGAAAGGAACTGAGCTGCTGACTAATGGCACCAACTTGACCCCAAAGATCAAAAACAACCCGCAGCTGGGCCCTATCTGCTTCCTCCGCTGGAGTAAGAGAGTCCTCGGTAGGCACGCTGCCCATGCGCCCCCTGTGGGGTCTCTAGGCTCTTCCCGCGATGAGCGAGGAACTGCAATCTACCCCCCCCCACCTAAAAGTGATCGGAAGAAGGGAGAACCACATGACCCAAAGGAATTGTGCCACATGCTACTTGGGATCACAAAAATTGCTCACGCATGCGAAGTATGTCATGTCCAGACATGAGTCTCTCACTTTGGGCCGATGGCTGATACGCAAGCAAAGTGACAGCTCAGTTGAAGTAAAATATAAACATCCTTGAGTAAACACAAGATACATCCTCCCTCACCTGAAGGATGTCATCATCCTGTAGCAGTGGCTGCTGCACTTCTGCTGGCTGACCTGCAGGGATCAGCTGCATGGCTGGCATCACATCGATGGCTGCTGCTTCACCAACCATCTCATAAAGTGCAATCAGCTCTGCCTGGTTCTGGTAGGCTGGTCCATGGCCTCCAGGATACACGTCGTCATCGTCATCTTCTGGTTCTGAGTCTGGCTGCTCAGATTCGTGCTCAGTGTCACTCGGTGTCGCAGGCGGCGATCGACCGAGGATTTCTGCACGAGTTCGTGGCGAATAATGTTGTAAGCCTAGACTTTCACGGCTACTTTCTGATGTGGTGTCAAGGTTCTCTGCAAGAGCAGGTGCTTCGGCTAGCAATGGTTGCTCAGCCTCTGTTGCTTCAAGCCTAAACCAACTACGTACCCACCTAACTAAGGGCCACTCCAAAAGGGATGCAAAGTTCGTGTTGGCGCTGGCACGGCCAAGCATGAATGCGATGCACACTGTCAAGGTGACAACGAAGGCAAAGCTGGTCCATGGGTATGCATCCTCGCCTGCTGATGCGGGCGAGTCAGGCACAAACTGTGCTCGGTCCTCATCATCCGCAGCCTTGTTACCCACGACCTGAACCAGCAATGCAAGAAGATGCAACGCCTCGGCATTCCCTCGACCTGTGCTCCTCACAGCACGAAGAAACTTCTTTGCCTGCTCACGGCGTTGTAGTTCCTCAAACTCAGTTGTCCCGACCAATGAAAATCCATCGTGTGAATCACGGATTCCAAGGATGTGGCTCAAGGTACGGACACGGGCTCCTGTCAAGGACTTTGTAAACAAATCAGCAGGATTTGTCAGGGTCGGTACTGCGTGTAGCGACGCTTTCTTCCACTTGAACAAGAAATCCTGCAACCATAACAAGCGTCCGGAGATATGGCGAAGACGTCCGCATCCCTGCCTTCCCATGATCCCCCGAGCTGCGCTGGAATCTGTGAACAGGTGCATGGACACATCAACACGCATGATGTGCTGCAGGGCACTGCGAAGGAGGATGCCGTCGCATGTAGCACTCACGCATGCGATATATTCACTCTCTCCACTGCTTAAACTCACGCAGCTCTGGCTTCTGGAAAAGGTGTGAATCACCATCCCATCGAAGGCTATGCGTCCGGCACTGGTGCTCTTTCGTGTTGACTTGTTCCCTGACCAATCAGCATCAGCGAACACCTCCAAGGTGTGGGTGTCATCTCGGACAACCAAGCCGATGCCTTTGCCCTCAGTCCTGTTGAAAATCATGGCTTCTACAGCCATCTTCCCACTCTACAAACAAAACACTCACGGTCTACACTTTTCCTGCTCTCGCACTGGGGGCGGTGCTTAAGCCTGTTCGGACAAACATGCATGCTTTCATGCCGTTCTCTGCATTCCTGCTTCACAGGGTAATGGTCCTACTTGGGATACTCATGCACTATGTGACAATCGAACACCCCGCCTCAGAAAGTTCTTGAGGGGGTTCAATGTTCTTGAAACTCGAACGGGCTTTCTGTAGAGTACTTGAAACTGCCAGGGACTTTCGTCTCCATTGCTTGGTCTTTTACCTGGCTGTACTTCTGCCCTTGGTTCTTGGATCGAAAAACTGTACATGATCCTTTCTCGAAACTTCTGTACAACTACATGTTCTTCTCTACTTCTAGTTAGGCTCACTAGGTAGGCTCAGCCTATGAGCTCTTTGCCTCCAGGCCCGTAGGAGGGATTCTCTCGCTCCCTACTTAGCCTACTGGAGCTTTTCTTGTTTCGGGCATCTTGTTTCCTTTCTTGGCTCTTCGGCTTCTTGGCTCTTCTGCCGCCTTGTAACCTTTCCTATGCCTTCTTATCCTGTGTGAAACTTCTTGAAACAATTACTGGACTTCTCTAGACATATTGGGTTTCTAGATTGACCAGTTCTTGAATCTTCTTGCGAATTCTTTCTGTACAGAATCTTCAAGTCTTACGTGGTTCTCTTGCTATGTACAAAATGTACAATGCTCTCACTGCTTGACCTTCACGACGCTTCTTTCCTTCTTACTGCGTCTGCTGAAACCAAGTCTCGTGGTAGTTGCCGTACTGGTCGTACCAACCTGCTTCTTGCCATTGCTGGTTGCTCCAGCTCTGGTCTTGCTGCCATCCCCAGCCTTTGCCAGGGTTCGTTGGCTTCTTTCCTTTGCCCTTCTGGTTGTACTGGAACTGTTCTTGTTGTAGACGTTCGTGAACAAGCTTCTCCACACGCTTCTGGTCTTGTTCTTCTTGCCATCGCTCGACTTCCTTCTCGTTGTTCAACCAAACACTGTGCTTCTTGTAAATGTCCACCACGGCGTTCCAGGTCTCACGTCCCTTCACGGGCGTATTCTTGAATTCTGGGGCTCCCTTTTTGTCTTCTCTGGCTGCTCTGTACTGCTGCGTCTTCTTGTTGAAGTGCCAAATGTACCCGAGGTGCGTGAACTCGGCTATGACCGAACTTCTTCCTGGTCCTGTGGGCTTCTCGGTCTCGTTCTCTTCCTCTTCTTCAGCTTCTGCTTCTTCTTGTGCTCCTTGGACTTCTTGTGGTTCTTTGGCTTCTTGGGGTTCTTGAGGTGGTACCCGATCTTCTTGGCGTATCGGTCGAAATCTTCTTTCGCTTCTCGCTGCTGCTTCTTGACTTCGCTTTCCAGCCATTCAATCGTCGCTTCGTTCCTTTGGATCTGGGCTCTCAAATCTCTCTCTGCTTCTTTCAACTTCACCACTCTCTGGTTGTGGTCGTCCTTCTGGAACTCGTTCTCCTTGCGGTACTCGCTCAACCTTTCCGAGGCATACCTTGCCTTCTCTTGCTCAAACCATGCGTCTCTCTCCACATACTGCTGCTCTCTGTCTTCGTTCTCCTTCTGCCACGCCTTCGCTTGCTCCATTCTTTCTTCAACTTCTTTCTCTCGAGCCAACGCTTTCTCGACCTTCTCCTCTGCTTCTTTCTCGGCCTTCAAGACAACGCTCTCTCTCTTCTTTAGGTCTGCTTCCTTCTTCTCAAGCTCAGACTCCTTCTTCTTCAGCTCTTCAAACTTCTCCTTCAACTTCTCTTTCCTATCCAAGAGGCGCTTCCTGAACTCGTCGTCGGTGAGGTCGTCGGCTTCTTGTACCTTGGCTGAGGCGCTTGAACGAATCTTCTTCTCTGTCTCCTCATCTTCTACTTCTTCTCCTTCTTCATCTTCTTGCTTTTGGACTCGCTTCCTTCTGCGGCTCTGCGCAGACTTCTTTCCTCTCTTCTTCATCTGGTCTTCGCTTGACTCTTCGCTTTCGCTCTCCTCTTTCTCTTTCTTCACGGGAATCTGCTGCCACGCGTAGAACGCTGCAAACAACACCAAGACGATCACTAGGACAAACTCAGTGATGCTCATGCTGCTTCCTTCTACAGCTTCTGTCTTTTGTTCTTCACTTTGGGGTGCTTGAGTGCTCTCTGCTGCTGAGGCAAAAACAAACTGCACAACTGCATGACATGCGACTGCAAAACTTCTCATGCTGCTGCAAAACATGCTTCCCAAAACTGAGACTGCACGTGGTTCTCTGCTGTCGCTCTCTTCTTGTATCTTCTTCGCCTCTGAACTGCATGCCATAGCTGACAATGCCAAAATAATACCTCTTTTGCTTCTGAAAACTTTCTCCAATCTTCTGACCATCTCTTCCTTCTCAAATTCTTCTTGTTCTTCTTGACCTACTCTTCCTGAGGGTCCTTTCATGCGTAGTCGGTGAAGTAAAAACTTCACACGCTTTGCTGACAATGCTTTTGTTCCTATATCCGCAGTGTTCTCTTTCGTGGGAACTGCGTGTACCGTCAGTCTTCCTTCTTTGACTGCTGACTGCAACCATAGCAGTCTGATCTGTAGGTGCTTTATTCGCCCTACTCCTTGACGGTTCGTAATACCTCTACACGCACTGCTGTCAGTGAATGCCTTGAGGTTCACGGGCTCACCGGTTAAGAACCGGATCGCACAATGTAGTCCGAATGCTTCGCTCGCTGCTCCTGTCAACGCGAGGTACTCAGCTTCCGCTGATGATAGACTGATGCTTCTTTGGGTACGTGAGTAGGAATAAAAATACATTCCGTTGAGAAAGAATGTAGCGCAACTCACGCTCTTCCTTGTCTCCTTGTCACCAGCCCAATCGCTGTCGCTGAAAAATTCTAAGAGGTGCTCTCCTTCTTGTTCTGCTTTCTCCTCATCGCTGCTGTTCTCGGGCTTGTCGTTCTTGAGGTTTCTTGGTCTGCTCAAAGCTGACGTTCCTTTTTCTGTCTTCTTGTAAGTGATACTGTAGTCGGCTGTTCCTTTGAGGTAGAGTGCAAGGTGCTCGAGCTCCTTCTTCTTGCGCTGTGTGGGCTTCGCCATTTTCGTCGACAAATTTCTTGTCGCAAACTGAATGTCAGGTCTGTCCTGGGCAACATAGAGGAAAATGCCAACTGCTGACCTGTACTTTGTTGCTTCTTCTTCTGGAAGTTCTGGAGAAAAATCTGGTTCTTGAGATGCTGGAGTGCAAGGGCTATTCTTGCTCTTCCTCTTCTGCAAATTGAGGATCTCCACCAGCTTCTTGGAATACTTTCCGTCGGAACAAATTCTCAGCTCGTGGTTCTCGAAGGAATACTTTCTCTTGAGGAATCTGACACTTCCTTCTGAATATCCTCTGTTGTACTCTTCTTCCGTCAAAAACGGACCTTCGATCTGAAGTTTGACTTTCTTCTCGAGGCTTCTGAGAATCGGCTCAACAGTCTTCTGCTTTCCTGCCATCTGAAGATCATCAACATGCACAATGCATATTGCTGCAACAAACTTCTTTCCATTGCTGCTTGTCTTCAGTAGTCTGTAAAGTGCGGGATTTCCAGTGCTCCTCTCGAAACCTTCACCAGTCAGGAGTTCGTCGCAATAGTCTGACCACAGACTCGATGCGTCACGCTGACCAGGGAGAACTCTCCTTAGCTTCCAACACCAACTGGAAAAACTGCTGAGACTTCCTGCTTCTTCTCTTTCTTCTTTTGTCATTTCTCTGACTACATGAGCTCCTTCTTCTGGTACTTTGCATAAACAGCTCGTTCTTTGAGGTACTTGAAGGAATGCGTCCTTCACGTCCAACGAGTAGATTGACCAACTGTTGATCAGTGCTAGGATGGGTATGAGCTTTGTGATTCCTGGGCTCGTCGCAGGACTAAAGACGTCCTCTCTTTTTCCTTCTGTTTTGTATTCGCGTGCAACTAGGCGCGCGCGTCTTTGCCAACAACGTTGTCCAATGCCATTCTTGAGCTTGCCATCTGGCACAAAATCTGTGTTCTCTCGAAATCGCCAATCTTTTACCAGCTTCGTTGTCAACCATTTGAACTTCTCTTTGACTGTATCTGCAAACGGAATTCTGCTTGTGCTTTTTTCTTCTTCTGTAGCAACAAGCTCGATAACTTCCATCTTTGTGAGTCTTCTAATTTCTTTCTCTGTAGCTTCATCATCAAGTTCTTGGAGAAATTCAGGATCAACTTCTGGTGGTCCTGCTTCTTCATCGAAAAACGATGGTGGAACCTTTGTGGCTTCTTTCTTTTTCTCTGGCTCAACTTCAGGTTCTTCTTCATCCTCTGAAAATGTCCAAAACTCTTCTTCTTCGAACACTTCATCATCGTGAGGCATGTTGGAAAATACTTCTGCTCTGTTGATACTTCCACGCTGAAATCTTGGAGCTTCAGGACGGTGTCGTGGAATCTTGCTTGGGGAACCAACTTCTTCAAATTCTGTTGGATGCTTCACCGAACTCGATCTCGATGCTTCTGCTGAAACTTCTCTTGGAACAGTTGCTGCTTTCATAGCTTCCGCCATGTCGGAAAGCATAGCATCATCTCCGACTGAAAGAGATCTTTTCTTTGATTCTTCTTGATCTGGCTGTTCTTGATCTTCCAAAATCTCTGCTTCACTCATGTGGCCTCTCTCTTCTTCCTCATCTCTGGAGGTGGCTTTGCTCTTCTTTTCTTCTTCTTCTTCACTGCTCGTGGCATCGGAACCGGCTTCATCATCAGGTCCATCATCTTCTTCTCTTTGATCTTCAAGTCGCTGTTGCTCTTCTTCAGCAATAGCAGGCAAGACTTGAGGTCTCGCTCTAGCTCTCTTGCTTTCTGG